TATTTTATTTAAGCCTTAACAGTTTATAAATCTAGAAATTTTATAGACTTTATTAGTATTTTTTAAATATTTTATATCTTATTAAATAGGCTTATATTATATTATATAAAATAATAAGGTCTTGTTAAAATGGGGTCATTTCTTGTGACACCCGCAGGGACCCTCTGCACCGTCTCTGCCCGACCCTCCGCTTTCAATTCCCTTTTATGGATGATAAAGGCTATAGAGCGCGGAATTGCTGAACCCCGGATTGTTAGCAGTTGACGTCATTCTCAACTCGGCGGGCCGAATATTGTGATGCCTGCTTAGATGAGATGAGATGCTTTCTCGATTCTTTCTAGGCATCGAAAACAAGTGCCTAAAATCCGTGGGTTGCCTACAATGGTTAAGAACATTCAGCCTCAACAAGGGCATCACTATGAAATTCCTGAACTGGTAACAGGGCGCTACACCATTGATCGGCGCAATTGCCGGATACTAGACTCTAAACATATACCAGCCATTCAAGGTTCTTCGGAAGGGAAACGATTCACCATCTTTAGACTGAAACTCGGTTTCCTTCTTACAGTTCAGTAATTCTATGATATGTTGTTCCATGTTGTTCATTGGCTGCTCGGTCGGGCAGTCGGGCATTTTCATGAGCCACTTGACTCCTTTGGGTAACCTTCTTCAACCTCATCCAAAATGATTTCAAGACAACGAGGCAAACAAAAGTCCAAGCACAAGATTCAGAAGAAAGTAATATCTTATCGATAATGGCCCAATCCTGTGCCATGGTCTCATCAGAGTACACAATGAACTGCCTTGTGTCTATCAGCCAGAGGTCATCATCTACGACAGCTTAGAGACACGCATTGCGTGCTGTTCGCCAATGTAAGTTTCTTGAAACAAAATCAGAAATACAAACGATTTATCCTCTGGTTTACTAGTCATAGTCCCTCATATTGTGAACATTCGTTGCTTTTCCTCAACTCTTTTGCAGCAGTGTTGTGAAGGCATCACCACTTACACCATTTGACGCCAGTCCATTTTGAGCACACTGCTTATATCTTCATTTTTAACCTCATGGTATCTACCATCTCTCAAGCCTTTACCTTTACAGGTCCCTGTATTTCATGCCACGATACTCTCACGCGATAAACTCTCTCAGTCAGTGGCAGACATTAATGGTGTTAAACCTGCAAACCCATGTCACCAACCGTGCACATCATTGCCGTGTTAGTTCCCCGCCGTGGGAGTTTGTCTGCCTGACGTAGGGATCGCGCCGGTAACTTTTCCTTGATGTTAACAGAGTTGGAAGTCTTATAGAACCCTTGACCCTGGTTCATCATCAGAGCTGAATCATGCCAGGCAGCAGCAAAACGACCAAACCTCAGGATGTGTGGAGTCCATACTGAGCTGCCCGTACTCAATTACTGTACCAAAGCATCATTATACAAGTCTGTTACCCAGAACCGCGTATCACTACGATTTACCCTTTCTGGAACCTCGCTTTCACACAGTATCAATTATAAGGCCCATCTGTTACACCAAGATCAAAAACCTTGATCGATAATCGACCCTCTTCCCCGTGTCACACTACAACTCCGTTCATCGGGTTACCCGTTTAGGAACGTCCGAAGCTGCTCTCAAAGATTCCATCTGACGATCCTCCACATTATCATATTATGCTTCCCCGTATTATCCTCATGGAGAATGGTGAATACATGTACACGGGACGTGTGTTTCTGACTCGCATTTCGGATTGCTTACTACTTTGGGTTACTTGCATCAACTCGAGTATCTCCCAGCAATAATTGTAGGCACACTGTTTCACTCGACACATTGGCATGGCATATTCATCTCATCATTTCTTTGATTGTTTCTTTTCTACAGAATATGTAAATGTACAGCTATCCATGCAATGCTTTTAATGAGGTAAGCGACAGGCTAATCAGGCAACTCTGTACATGGAGGTATTGTATTATAAGCATTTCCCAAGAAATAAAAACCCCAACGCGCCGATGACAATGCTTCCCGTCTCCAATTCATTTCCTAATCAATGCCTTCCTCGTCGTTCTGCTTCGAAGAGCTCCCTCTTCATATCCATAAGCATGTCTTCTAGCTGGTAAACCTCGTCGCGGCTAAGTGCTGCCGCCTGCAATTGCTGTAATCCACCACGAAGAGTGTCCATGATTGACCTTGTCTTGTGTGGTACTGGTGTTTCTTCTTCTTCATCCTCATCTTCTTTTGGCTCGGCAACTTCTTCTTGGCCCTCCTCTTCCGCTTGTGGCTGATCCTCCTGGACTTCTTCACCTGATTCGCTATCAATTGGTAGAACTTCCATAGAGTCCTCAATGACTTCATCAGGCACCCGAAACTCAGGCTCTTGACTTTGCGAGGCTGCAAAGGACTCTGTCACCAGTTGTGACATGAGTTCCTCATCGGTGTCCCCGTCATCACGTGCATCGGTCGACTTTGACGTTGTCTGAGACGCTCGGGAAGATGAGCGTGTAGACCTTTTGGTAGGCGACGCCTGGTCCTCTCGGTTTGGTAGCTCCTTGCGCTTTTGTCCAGCGGTTCGTCTGGATGACCGTCGCACGGTTGGAATAGACGAGGCCGTTTCTTGAGATGTTGACTGGCTATCTTCGACCTGCTCTGGTCCTGATGGGTCGGCCGACCGTCTCTTTTTGCGACGTGTCTCTGCATGCACGGCGCTTCGCTTTCTCTTCCTCTTGCTGCCAGTTTGGTTTGTATTTTGGTTTTCATTCTTCTCTTGGCTTGCTTCGACAGGCGTAGAGGGAACAACACTAGACGGTGGAGGCTCCTTAGTGTCATTCTGTTCTTCGTCGGCAGATTTGTCTCCTTGGACCTCTATGCACTTTTCGGGAGACGCGTCGTTCTTTTTCTTCTCGGGGGAAACAGAAACTGAGTTGTACTTGTCGAATGGAAGATGGCATCTTCTGGATTCAAGTTCCACCACTAATCTCATGAGGCTGCTTTCATCGCCTTCACTGAGCGCGAAAGATGAGTCTTGATTCTGGCTGTTAACCACCTTAGAGCCACGTTCAACAGCCTGATCATCAACAGCCTTTGCAGGGCTGCTCCTGGCATCCACAAATTCGTCGTCTGCAGATTTTGGTGTTTCCAGAACCTGTGCTGGAGGCGGGGCTGTTCGTTGAGGGCTTTCCAGCTGGCTGAGGGCAGGCTGTTCGATATGTTCCTCTTTGATCTCTTCCACATCTTGGCTAGGTGGCGCATCTGGCAGTGCCTCCGCGTCTTCGGCCACCACCTCCTGACTACCAAGACTTGAAGGAATGACCTCCTCCTTCTTTGATGATTCTGCCCTCCTCCTGCGTCGCTTAGACCGTGTGTTCTTACCAGAGGTCTTGTTCTTAGCAGAAGGAGTCTCCACCTCAGCTTGGTCTTCATTAGTCTGTTGACTGATGGAAGGTGAACCAGGTGGTGAAGAAAGCTCCCAGTCGACGATCGAGTCTCTAGCCTTTGATCGAGTTTGTATTTCAGATAACAGAGGGTTGCGTCTCGGGTCCGGTGGTGATGAAGGTGGGTCGTTCAAGCCCTCGAGATGAAGAGCTTGGCCACGTCGAGGAGTGGGTGTCAGATTGATGAACTCATCGTAGGAAGCTGCGCGTTCAGGGGTAGTTTCGAGTCTGCTGGGTTTATTCTCAGCATCCTTGGAGCTCTCCTCGATCGCAGCCTTTGCTCGGGTCCGTGGGCTAGATCGGATACCGGGATACATGGCGGCATTTTCTTCCTGTCGCTCACGGACTTCCCTCTGCCTTTCAGTAAGATGTTGGGACTCCTCAACCAATGGTGATGAGACAATTGGGGCAAATTGGATTTGAGAGTTGTCATGGCGAAGACGGGGTGTAGCTGTTCGCTTAGCCGGTTTTGTCTTTACAGATTCAGGGGTGGCATCTCTGCGGCGCTTTCTAGTCGTCGCACCCCTAAGACTCATCTTCGATATGGATGGTACAGGTGAGGCTGCTTGCTCAACGCCTTGCCCCGATGACTTGGCAGATGATAGAGCGACGAAGCTCAAATCTTCCTGGGTATCGACAAAGGTTTGCGCTTGGGCTCCGAACTCGCCACTGGAAAGTTCCATACCAGGGAATGAGACATCAACTCTTGGCCGTAAGGAAGCTATAATCGACTTGAGGCTCTCAGAGCAGTCCAGGCTCTCTTCGTCCTTTACTAGAGCGTTCCATGTCTCTGCCATTTTGTTTACGACGTGACGATGTTTACTTCTAAAACCCGCAGCGACGAGAGGCTCGACTGTGTCAAGGACCTTGTCCTCCAATTGACCGAGTGTCAATAGCTGGCCACAGATGTTATCCCACAGAGTCCGTACCTGGAGATAATTAGCATATAGAAGAGTGCACCCATTGGGATTACCTACAGATCCAGAGACAGGAGAACTACTGCGCAACAACTTATGCGCATTTTCATCCTGGATCCATGGACTGAGTCCTGTTTGTAGCTTGGGGAGAGTTTTGATGCCATTTTGCGAAAAGGATGCGACAATGAAAGCGCTGACAGCCTCAAAATAGGCCGCAATCTTTTGACCATTGCATTCGCCCTCGTTTTCGTAGAAGTATTTCATACTCTGACCTTGAAGCTGGTAAAGATACTGGAACGGGTCGAATGAGGAGGATCGTGATGCCGTGGGAGGGGCACCCCAAAGTCGTCGCCGAGCAGCCTCAACAGCCTGGCGATCTCGGGGTAGTTTGGCAATATTGAATAGCGCAATCGCTACCGCCAGCGCCATCTGGTTTGATCTTTCAGAATCCTCGAAGAAATTGTCCGTAACAATCTTGGAAAGAGGCTCTACAAGACCAAGGGCGCGACCTGAATCTCCAGACTCTTGAGCGATGTGGTCGGATAACAAGTTGAAAAGAGAGAACCATTGTTCTTCAGGGAGCGTGGGGTGCGAAACAAGTCCTCGTTCGAGAAGCGATACTATCTCCCGGTATTCAGGTCCAAGTAATCTCTCGCTGCTGGTTGGTAGCGAGCCGGATGGCGATGGGTTTTGATCCAGCAAAGTACGAATGTTCTGAGCAGCGAGAACCCATGGACCGTATGGTGAAAGAGCGTCTCGCGGTAAGAGTCGGAGCATCTCTCTCGACAACTCCACTCGAGCTCTTGAAGATTTGCCTCGGAAGAATGGATCAAAGACAGCTAAGAAGCACTCGGCAAGATCTTCATCATCAGCCAATCCTGGTGGCTTGGAACAAAGTATGGAAAATAGGTGATAAAGCGGCGTCTGAACAGTGCCGTTTGACTTGTCAGTGCGATCAATCCGGCTAGGAGTTGAAGCAGGCTCAAAGGTATTAGCAAGAGACATAGATAGCTTCTTCTCGGTGAAGGGGAGCAGGCCAAGGTTGCGAACAAGGACATCGACATAATGCCTGACACTCGACAGATACTTCGTGCCTGCAGACTCAGACCCTTCAGGCAGCCCGGTTGACCACACCTTGGACAATAAATCGAAAGCTTGGGCGATGAATCTCGCTGTCTCGTCAGTCACCTTGATATCCTTTGCCGAGGCGACAGCAATAGAACCAACGAAGGCTTGCCAGAGTCTATAGGCTAAACTTTCGGTATTAGCCAAGTCGTGGAATTTCTTCTCCAGAATTGGTCCAACAAGGCCAAAGATTTTCTCCGAATTCCGGCGAGCCCATTTTGAGTCGATTGAAGGCAGCTCCTCAGGGCTTATAGGAGCAACATCCTTGATCCTTTCGTCTTTCCAGCTTCTTGGGGTCGAAACGTCGAGCAGTCCGGTCACAATTCGGGTCGCTTGCGTTACGGAGTCAGCAGAAGACTCGGCTTGTGCATCGAGCTGGACTAGTTGTTGCGTGATAGGTGCAAGGATAGTATCCCAGGCAGCGTCGATCGACGTGACATCTTGACTAGGACGGAAGGCATAGTAACACAGGTTGCAAATACCACCCATCACTGTTCTGCGAAGCTTCATGGCTTCCTCTGACTGCTTCAAACTGAATTTACGCCGGAGTTGGCTTGCTAGGGGTTGTGCCAATACACCCAGAGACTTTGGGGGCAATTTGTTGCTGGTGATTGAAAGATAAACATAGCGATTCCAGGCATAGTTGGCTTCCAGTTTGGTCTGTGAATCGGTACAGTTGAACGAGTCCTGCGCAATCTTGAACCATGGAGCAAAGTGTTGCCATCGACTGAGAGGGCACTGCAGGAAAAGGGTCACAGCACCCCAAATCTGTGGAACCGTTGACAAGAGTTGCTTCTCTTTGAGCATAGTGTCGAGGCGCTGGATGTAATACTGAATATAGATTTGTTTGTCCGCCGTCGACTGCAGAATCTCAGTCACCTTGCGCATCACAGGCTTCTCATTTCGCAGCGAAAAGCCAGCTTCCGTGCCCAAAAGAATTGCCTGCGCTCGAATGTCTCGAATCGGAGTGAGCATGTCATTAAACAAATCCTCTAGCCAGGCCGTGTGGGCAGCCATATGGTTTCGAGATTGCCTCACAAGACGCTTGTAAATCTGGATACGGCCCATGATGATGCTCTTGCCAGTCAAATGATCCTCGATGTTGTGCAACGATGTGACTAACCGACCAACTCGATCCGAAGACATGACTTTTGGGGAGAAGGACTGGAAAGCAACGACTTGCATAAGGTGGCGTGCCAAGTCCTTCGAGATTCCTGGGTCCGAGAAGCATCGAATGCAATGGTCGATTATGAAGACGCCGAAGTCTGATGTGAGAGAAGAAGCAATGGCTGGAAAATGCAAAAAGGTCGTTAGAAGACTGAGGGCTTGGAATATGAGAGAAGAGTCAGGAGACCCCTCATCTCTTTTGGATTTGACATCTCGTTCAATAAAGGACATGAATAGGCTCATCTTGCCTTGTAGGGCAACCCGGTCTGGTAGGTTGTTGGAAGCCTTGAGAGCACGAGAGAGCATCATGTATGCATCGAGTCGCGAGTCCCGGTCGGAACCGGCGAGTTGTTTTATTGTCGAGTCCAACATTTCGGCGATACTAATCTGGCTTGATAGGCCGTTGGGATGGCCATTAAGAGGTGAAGCGAGAGGGTTGGGAGACGGTGACGGCTTCAAGATACCCTTCACGGGCCTCGAAGAAGCAGAAGGGGTCGTAATCGGCGACGATCTGAAGAACTTGGAGGCTTCTCGATATTCGGTATGGCTTGACCATTCGACTTTCTTCCTTGTCCGCCTCGAGCCTGAATTGGTGTTGGTTGCCCCGTTCGACGATGGTGTATTAGCGCCTGGTGGTGTCTGGAGACTCAGTCTTGGGTCGATGGGACGACCGACTGAAGCCTTCATAGGAGCTATTTTATCTGGAAAAGATTCTCGAGGAGGAGTTGGCGGTCGGGGAGAAAGTTCGTCGAGGGTGGTGGCCTTGGCTGAAGATGCCATGGCTGCCAGGCAGCATTGGCGATCTAGACAGCAGTGAATTGGCCGAGAAACCACTAAAAACGCATGCGAATATTAAGGAGATTAAGATTGGAACCGTGGATTTTGCTGCGACTTAAAAAAGTGCAAACATTTGTATACAATGGCAAAGAGAACGAATGAGTCGGTGTAAGTGAAGATGGTGATATTGCGTAGCGTTGAGGACTGTGAGTAACTACCTGAACCTGGAGTATCCGTAAGTAAATGCTTGATCGATCCGCGCTTCAATTCTCCGGGCCAACGCGCGAAGCGAACGCGATTTTTAGATGAGCAACCGCGAATCAATTAAAGATTCAGGGACCGTGCGCGTCAGACGCCCCAGAATCGACCCCCCTGTCTGTCGCCCAAGGCGTCTTTCATGGCTGAGGTAAGCGAAACTTTACGTGTTCCCGCTACAGATCGGCTGGAGGCGCTATCGATAAAGTTCTAGGTACATTGGACCCTGTTGTGTCAGTGAAGCACATGCCAGAACAGGTCGAGAGAGAGCTACGGATTGGACCTCGCCTCGATATTGCCTTGTCATTAATAAATTACAAAAGTTACATAAATAGAAGTGAAAGAGCAAACATGATGTCCTGCTGCGCTATGAACACTTACCAATTTCTCCAAAACTACCTCTAGTACTCCTTCTTAAAATGCAATAACACATTTTGTTAGTGGCTGATGTCCAGTTTCCATCATCTTCTCCCCGCTCATCTTGAACCATCACACCTCCCATCAACATCCCCCTCTCCACTCATCATCAAATCATCATGGCCGCTCAGCCAGCTTTTGGTCTACCCACAGGGGCTCAGAAGCTCAAAGATGTCACGGAACTGGTCGAAGCGCTCACCGAAGATCTCGAAGAAGATCAGTTTCTTCCAGATGGTGAGTCTCCTGACTGGAAAGAATAGCAATGCATCCTCTCCTAATGCTGTGGACAGACCGCGCCTTGGCTCTAGAAAAGCTTAAGCTATACAGTCGAGACCCCAGTAATGCCGAACCTCTCTTCTCGGAAGCAGTCAGTGCACCCCTGCTCTCATATGAGGGTCAAATGATTTGAAGAATTGCTAACTGCTGTCAGGGTTTCACTATGCTCCTTTGCCATGCCTATGATAAACCATCTACCAAATCAGCTCGGGCTGCACTGAAGGTTATAGCTAATTTGATGCTTCTCGTCCCTCCTACACGGCATATGTTTGTCGACAAAGGTTTTGCTCCGAAAGCCATCAAAGAACTAGACACTGGAAATTATGAAGATGAATTTCTCAACTCCCGTATCTTGTTCCTGACCACATATGAAACAAAGATCGACCTGAAGGAACTCCTCGATAAAGATAAACTGGCCGATCGCATTATCAACAACCTAGCAAAGCATGCAAAGGAAATGGACACCAAGGCCAAGGCTGACCCCATGCAAGACATGGCGCTCACCGAAACCGCAAAGCTCTTGTTCAACGTTACACATTGGTGTAAAGAGAAGGCCTCATTATTCAATCCTGCAGTCCCTCATCTGATAGCTGTACTGTTCAAGGCTGACGTTTCCCAAACGAAGCCGCTTGACCCTCCGGTCGGATTCATCATCAACGGCTTCCTTAATCTTGACCTGAATACCCCAGAGAACCAGGAGGCTCTTCACCCCAAGGGCGATCCTGAGAGGGTAGTATCTAGGGTGATTGACATCCTAGATGTCTCCATTCGAACAATTCCCGACAATCAGAAGGATGCTTCCATTGTCCCAGTCCTTGGCCTCGTAAGGTCGATATACGAGCATGCGCCTGATTCTACGAAAGCGTTCATTCGCGAAAAGCTCTTGCCGACGGAAGAGCAGAGAAAGGATGTTCTGGGCAAAGGACACAGCTTATCAGCCAAACTACTCCAAAACAGCAACAACGCCATGGCCCCGTCATTGCGCAACCTGATCCAGCATGTGCTCTTCGAGCTATCTGATAAGGATGCCTCCAAGTTTGTCGAGAACGTTGGCTACGGCTTTGCATCTGGCTTTCTGTTCCAAAATAACATCCCTATTCCAGCTTCGGTTGCAGAGGCTCACGGCGCTGGTGAGGCGGCCAAGGAGCAGAAGCCAGTCAACCCCATCACTGGCCAATTTGTTGATGCTGAGAAGCCAGTTGACGAGCCTGAGATGACGGAGGAGGAAAAGGAACGAGAGGCTGAAAGGCTCTTTGTGTTATTTGAGCGGTAAGTTCACAATTTCTATCTACTCACTCGTTGCACAGAGCTAACAGGCATTTAGATTGAAAAAGACAGGCATTATTGACGTTCAGAACCCGGTGGAGACCGCCTTGAGGGAGGGTCGTTTCAGAGAACTCAGAGACGATGAGGTGGAAGAGCTTGAGTAGTGAATCGTAGTCGGTCTCTCTTCTCATTATCAGCATGTCGAAGTCTATCACTTTGGTCATCCGGGCAGTGATCTCATATCAAACGGAACCTTGCAGATTGGCGGGAACAAAAGAAAGCATAGATGCATACATTAGTTTAGGGGTCTTCGTTAACAAATACTCAGTCTTATTGTAACAGAGAATTTGGCCAATGTATCATATCAAGTGGTCGATAACGTAGTCGACTATTGCTCATTCTCAAATGTAGTATATTCCCCGATCAATGACTGTAGTCTCTCTCCCACCTTCATCCACCTCACTTACCTGCCTACCAACTTTACGATCCTCCAGGTCGCACATCCTCTACCGCTTCGGCTCTTAGCAGCTGCCATCACTGCCAACGCGTCGGGTTACTTGTTTATTTTCTTTTTTCAAAAAATCCGCCCTTCACCTTTTCTTTGCCCCGTTTAATTCAGTCAGGTATTAACTATATTTATGAGCACAGGTGAATCTCATCTCACCCTGTTTCTAAAGCTTTGCCGATTTGATGAAAAGTCAAAGTCAGAGTCGCGCAACACCATCCGCAACACGATTTTCCTACAACGAGCATATTCACACAAGGACTTGAAGTCTACCTAAAGAAGACATAGGTGTCGCAGCGTCAAATCTTTCCACTTCTCTTTCACTCTCCAGCAAGATGCCGCCTTCCAAGTCTAAGCCCACTGTCTTCTACGCACGCGATAAGTCCCCTATGGAGGAGCACAACGGGTAAGATCTTAAGCTCTATACTTTGGCGCATTAGGTTCGCTTGCTTATATGAAAATCTTAGGCCTCGTGCTAGTATCGAGGGGGGTGAGGATGAAGAAGAAGAGGAAGAGCTCATCCCAAAAATCAAATCTGATCTTGTGGACTATTCGAGTTCCGAAGAGGAACTCAATTCTCCTGAGCCTGAGAAAACTGAACAAGACTCCAAGCCCGAGAAGCGCGCTCTTTCTCCGGGAGAAGAGAGCGATGAAGAAGCCGCAGATGCAAAGGCAGCCCCTCCAGTCAAGCGCCAGCGTCGCTCGCAAGTGAACAGTTCAGCTCCACCTCGTCGTTCTAAGCGTGTTGCATCGACTGCTAGCCTTCAGGATGAGGATACTTGTGGCGCGGAGAAGAAGAAGCCCGTTTCTGGAAAAAGAGGTCGCGGTCGTCCTCCAGCCAAGACAAGAGTGACCAAAGTCGAAACAGCCTCAGAGAGAAGCTCTCCTGCCAGAAAGAAGGCTACGCGTGGCGAGTCTACTACCGAATGGGAGGTTGAGAAAATCATTGATTCTCAGGTTGACGCTGATACCAAGGTGCTTTACTACCAGGTCAAGTGGAAGGGTTTTGGCAATAAGGAGAACACTTGGGAGCCTAAGAAGAATCTGGGCAAATGCGCCAAGCTCATCAAGGATTTTGAGAAGGATCAGTGAGGGGGCTATGATGGTATGAGCTATGAACTAGTTGACAGCGATGGGGACTTTTTAGGAATGAATCAGATCACTGGGCTATGGTTATGGGGATAACTGAGGGAAGCATCTAGCAAGGAAAGGTCTGGCAACAATTGCTTTATGGGAACTTAACCACTGGATTCAAAACGAGCGAATGGGAGCAGTATCTAGATGGAATTATCTCAACGATTACTTCGGGGCAGCGTTATCAAAGCCTTTTAGCAGAGGAGAATGAAGCTCTAGTACTCTTTTGTCAAGATCGGCACATCTCCTATTGAAGGATAAATAAAATACAGGTTTTCTTTATGCAGAATGTAGTGATTGCGACGAGTTTAACTTTTTCTGCTACACCATTGTTTTGTTTAATTTTACCCGCCCTACGATGGTTTACCCCCATGTCACATCTTCATTCTTCCCTGAGCAGAGTTGAGAAACCCAGTGCCGCTCCAGCAAGAGGAAGCAGACTTCGAACCAAGTTCAAAACCCCCCATCTTCCGATCAGCGTAGCCACGTCCTCCTGTGAAGCATCCAAGGTTCCCGCAGACGCCTTGAACAAGAGGTCGTTTGTCGAACTCATGAAGATAATAGTGAAAGGAACGATGGAGACCGTCAAAGCAGCACTGGCAGCCAGCCCCTTCCAGTTACGGCCTTGCTGGTGAGCTGTATAGGCGGCGTATAGATAGGCGATTGCTGTTGTTCCAGCAAATTTGGGCATGAGAGCGAATCCACGGTTGGAGAGAACCTGCCAAACGGAAACACCTTGGGGTCCTGGTAGTTGCAGAGCAGCGGGGATGCCAGCAAGTGAAAGAGAGGCGATGAAACCTAGAATTGTCAACCAGTGTCTTATGATTTGACTTTATAGTCTTACCAAATGCATAGGCCGAGCCAGTGATGCCTGTGGCAGTGGCCACGAGAGAGGGAAGGGGGATAGAGATGGGCATTCTGAAAATAATGAGGTAAATTTAATATTCATATAACATTCTCAATTATCTTGAAAATCTACAACAAGTTGATGCTGCTGAAGTCATCGTCATATATATCGGCGAAAAGTGGAACCCCGTCCGGACCCGGAAACTATCACGGACTTCCTCAGATGTCCGGCCGCGTCCTTGTCCATTTCCTGCATCGTTATTGATCAAAGACCCTCGTTCTCGGATCAGGCCGATTGGTCAAAGGGCCTGTGTTATAGCCTTATTCGGTTGTCGACTTTGCTTGGCTAAACGACAACCATTCCCTTGCGAACAACAAACCCATGTAGGGTCACTTCTTGAAACTCGTCTCTGGTATCAGCTTCCGTCCACGACGACACGAATTTGAAACCAGCCTTTTTGAGGACGTTTTGACTGGGGGCATTTTCGCTCAGTGTGATGGCTGAGATGCACTCCTGTTTGACATCGCCGTCATCTTCGAGAATTGTGTTCTTGTCCACTGTGAGCTCAACTTCGTTCCTCGGGAGCGACCACCACTCATCGAGGTAGACTTTCATAAACTCAGACGCATAGCCTTTGCCCCAATGCTCTTTCAGAAAGATGTATCCCAGAGCCGGCCAGCCTAATTCACTCGACCATACACAGGTACCCCCTAATCCGATGGGCTCACCTGTCTCGATGAGGGAGATGACCCAATCGTACCTCTCGCCGTCCTTTGGAGGTAGGCGAAGACTTAGACTCTTTTCAGTTTGTTCTATCTCAATATCGGGACCTCCTTGCGACGACCATTTCATGCCATCTGGACATGTGCGAAGAGTTCGAAGGAAACCGAAATCATCCTCAGTCATATGACGCATCGATAGACGTTCTGATCGAAAAGTGTTTCGTTCATGATTTGGTGGAAGTGGATAAACGGGAAGTGTTGTCTTGACTGTTACAAAGTCAATTGACGAAGGTTTTTTGGACTCCATGTTGAAAGTTTAGGGTAAGTTGAGTTGATTGCGGAGTTGCCTATCGTGAATGCAAGTCTGTAAACGTTCTGACCCTGAGAAGCTCTAGACCTCATATATCTTCCATCTCCCTCCGTTTCCACTCCGAGTTTGTCTATACCATCTGTACTATGTCGCAGAATTGTGAGTCATGGGCTATCACGACCGTTGATTGTGAGTCGAATCAGCAGGCTTCAATTTCAGGTGTGACAAAAGTACCCCTCGGCACCCGACAACTGGGGCAATATTCGCGTTCACTACGTGTGCCCTCATAGGCGTTAGATGGCTTGAAACTGGAATCAAGGTGCGAAAACTCACTAATTAAAGACCTGCTAGAATTTGTCTATTTTATAATAACTTTATCTAACCAATTCCTTAGGTTCAAAGTCTCAGTTTCTAGCCATCCCCAAGCCTGTTCAACATGTGTCTGGCCTAACTAAAACCGTTGAGAGTCAATAAGGCTAGCCTCACTCAGCCTTAGGATTGCAATGCATGCTAATTTATGCAGGGAACTTGATAGGCAGGAAGGGAATCAGGGTCGAGACAAGAGACAAATGTCACCCAAAAAAATCTAAACGTCACTAAACTCAAGTTGGGTGGGACCGCGCCGGCACTTCCTCTGTTTCTGTCTGTCTGCTACAGATTATCAATTCTTGCTGTTATTTGCTTACTTTGTCTTGCTTTAAGTTGAACTTCAACGCATATAACGACTTCAACGCCATGATTATTTGAGACAATCACTGCGGCAGTCTCGGCTTAACTCACCAACATAACTATTCACATATTATTCGCCATTATCGCCCAGAATGAGCTCCCGTGAAGGCCGTCCGGCCAAAGTACTGAGCTGTTCAAACTGTCGCACACGCAAAATCAAATGCGACAAGATACAACCGTTATGCGGCCAATGTTCTCGCTTTGGCCTCGACTGTGTCTTTCCCTCAAGAAAACCAACAAGACGTGCTCCAAGACCTCGCCAGAGTGAATTACTTGACAGGATCAGTCGTCTTGAGAGCATCGTCAACCAGGCTGACCCCGCCAAACTGAAGCAATTGGATGAGGGGGACATCCAGAGTCTCCAAGGCTCAACCTCACTTTCGGCAACGCTGGATAACCGCTGTGATGAGTCCCAAGCAGTAGCAGCGCAGGCTGCTAATTTAGAGACTGGCGAACAGTATCTCGGTTCTGGTTTTTGGGGAAATTTATGTGCTGAGGTTGAGGGAATTCGACAAGCGTTGAATCAACCTTCTGAAGACAGTGATGAGGAAGAAGAGGGCGAAAGCCCAGAGTCAGTAGATATGGCATCTACGGGTCCTTCGGGCTTCTTACTTGGAAACTCTGATTACACATCGAGGCAACCGCTAATACACCCTCCACCGAATATGATGATACGGCTCTGGACGATTTACACCCGCAACGTCGATCCTCTCATGAAGATTCTGCATCGACCAACCATCAGCAAACATTTCCAAGCTTACATTGAGTCACCGACTACACACACATTCACCGCCGAGATCAACGCTGTCTTATTCGCCATCTACTTCTGTGCAGCTGTTTGTTTGACACCAGAATCGTGTTTGAAGCAATTGGGTGAAAACAAAGAAATTCTCACAAGGCGATACCGTGTTGCGGTGGAGCGGGCACTCGCCGAAGCGGACTATCTCAGCACAACCAAGATCGAGCCTCTGCAAGCCCTGACGCTCTACACAAGCATGATGCGTGTTCACTTACACGACCGGACATCTTGGGTTCTTACATCACTTGTAATCCGAATTGCCCAAGGACTTAACCTTCATCGAGATGGTGACGGCCACCGCTTCACACCGTTTGTCGCCGAGATGAGGCGCCGTTTATGGCATTTCATCGTTGTTCTCGACATCCGCGGGTCAGAAGACCGCGGTTCTGATGCAACACTTACCCGGTCAGGCTTTGATACAGCAGAGCCCACCCCCATTGATGATGATGATTTTGGACCTGATTCTATAGGTCCCTTGATACCCAAAACAACGCCTGCCGAGAACGTTGTATGTTTATGTACTGCTATGTGCTCAGGCATCTTCGGCTTCATATCGCACCCGCATTACAGCCCTCGAGGCGAACCAGAACATTTCTTATATACCGAAGAGGAGCTTATTTCTCATATACGTCAACTGGAAACTAGCTTCATCCACACTGCCAAACCCTCACATCTCCCCTCTATTTACGCCTCTGAAATTGCTCGCATCGTCATTCTAAAGCTTTGGCTCAATATTCAATATCCTTTCACCGGTGGACCAGCTCCCGACCGACCTCGCGTATCAAAAGAGACCATGTTGCGTACTGCGATCTCGATTATTGAGCTGCGAGAGCGTATGACAAAGAACCAGTGGGAAGATCGGTTTGCCTGGTGGACAGACACTTATGTGCAATGGCATCCTCTCGCGGTTGCATTAGCAGAACTCTGCGTGCAGACAGAGGGAGAGTTGGTAGACAAGGCCTGGGTGGTCGTGGAGAGAACATTTCCATCGTCGCGAGAGCACATTGCAGACACAGCGAAAGGTTCACTTTGGCGACCTATCAAAAAGCTGCTCAAGAAAGCGAGGGCGGCGAGAACCGAAGCGCTTCTCAAACGTATGGATTTCAACTCCAGCATGAACCTGGACCCTGCAACAGCTTTCATACCCCCAGCTATGAATAATATGGCTCAACCATTGCAGTATGGTACAAACCAACAGATGAATATTCCTTCATCTGGGCCAGGCTTGGCATCACAGTACGACACGAGCAGTATGGATCCTTCGATACTGTTCGATCCACCAGAGACTTTGAATCTCGACTTTGGTATGGGCTTGGAGCAAGGCGTGCCTATGGAATGGACATATTGGACAGAGTTTTTCAACGATACACAGATAGAAACATCTCCAGGGAGCGGGACAGGTGAGTCAACATGATAGTTCACAATCGGTAGTCTTTGTTACTTTTTAAATCCCAATCAATTGTTTTCACACCAGGCAGCATCCGCATGCTCAGAATTTTTGGTTCATTCAATGCCCGTTTTATTGAGCAAAGTCAGTTGATATTTCCATGATCCGTTGTAACACCCGCAGAGCCCCAACCGTCCTCTAAACCGAAATCATTCTAAGCGAAAGTGGAAGGTCGCTTCGCGCTGAAGAGCTTCTTGGTGTTCTCCTTGGTGATGCGGTGGGGGAGAGGGAAGCTGAGTCCCTTCTGGGTCAGCTGGCGGATGTAGGGTCGCTTGATGTCCTCGGTCTTCTCAATCTCGACGACGCGGAGGATCTAGAGTTTGTTAGCGTCTGTGATGAGTAGCTGATCGACAGAGTTGGACGTACGTGGATGGACCTGAAACGAGCACGGTGGCGGGCAGCCATGTCGGAGTAGAGAGACTCGACAGCATCTGTTCGGGACAGCTCACGGTACTCCTTGTACATGTTGTGCGTGCCGGAACGAGAGTCGTATCGGATCCAGATGCCGAAGTTCTTCACCTTGAGAGGGTGCTTCTCGTGGATCTGAAATTCCCAGTTAGCCTGACCATTGCTTCCCGTCGTGTGGATTCTTGCTACGTACAGTCTTGACGCTGACGATCTCACCAGTGGCCTTCTTGACCTTCTTGAGACCGCGCAAGAAGTACCAGTATCGGGACTTGGCGACCGTCTCGTTGGGAGCGAAGATGGTCATGCGGTAGAGGGCGGGAGTAGGGTTAGCCTCGGTGGGCAAGTGGCGCCCAATGACCTCGTATTCCTGAAGACGGCCTGAAGACATTGTCAGTATTGGACGTTGCAGGTGATGATGTTTGTTGTTGTGATGCCGCGTGCCGAGCCGGAGGATCAAATCGAAATTTCGAGTGCGTGGTGCTAGTACCAAGTCGAGGTGTTGACGAAATTCGAAATCGACTCTTCGATCAAAATTTTGACAAGCCCCGCTTCAGCAAGCATATCGAGAATTGTGTGAGTAGTCGTCGATGTTCTGCAGTAGCTGAGAGGTGGTCCTTCGTCCTTCTGTCCCTTCGTAGCAAGTTGTGAAGAAATATCGAAATTTGTTTCTCGTCGTCATAATCCTCCGGCGGGCGGCATCGTTGCAATCGAGCGCATAAAATAGAAAAACTGCTTACCCATCTGTATTATTGTCAGTGGGTTTCCCTGTATGAGTCCTGGTATGCACTTACGGTGACTTCTGGTGATTGACTGGAAGGTTAGTAAATGGCAAGTTTGCAAGATCGCAAGATAAAAAAGTGTGCGATTAGGAGGGCAAGAGCAGGTGGGTCGTACCTTCCGGAGGGCTTAGGCCCCGTTAGCGATTGGTCGACCGATTCTCCACTTCAGTTCAGCGTCACGTGCGGTATCGAAGAAGGAGCTCTGGACGACAGTGGGTCCAATGACCAATCAGAAACGCAGGCGGGCAAGTCAAAGAAGTTGGGAAGAGGGAAGATGAGTTCAACGACAGAGTGAGAGGCCAGTTGATCGACTTGTAACATCACAAACTTTGGTAATACAGACTTGAACTTTTCGCGACCTTGTTACTGGATCATTTAGTCATTCGTTAAACTGCTGTCATCCATTTCGATTCTGCTCATGCTCAGTTTGAACCACGTCCAGCACTCTTACTGAGCATAAGATCCTGCCTGTCTAATACAGGAACCATGAATACCCTCTTCGATCAGTTTGCGGAAGCCCATTCCCAGAAAAATGGCTACAAACTCGCGCAAACACTATCACCTGTTGCCCCACCAGATGACCCTCATCGCCTCATGGCTGTTTGGCGTAGTACGAATTCTCACAGCGTTAAGGGCGACATCAAGCACTTCGTCAAGAGCAGCACATCTCATCGAAGAAAAATGAGCCATGATGAAAGTACAGGCTGGGTAGAGGTGTACACCTCATATTGGAAAGCTGTTGCTGAGATCTTGGCGGGAGAGAGCAGGAAGGTATGAGGCTTGTATAGGTAGCTCTGAGAACATCATACTAATTCTTACATAGTCTACGTGGACTAAAGTATATGAGGCATGGAAGGAACTGACCTCAGTACTCATCCGCGGATACAACTCACATGGTTTCGAAGCGTGGACTATCCCCTCACTCTATATGGTGGGCAAGTACCTGCGATTATTTGCGATCAAATCCGACGAGGAGCGCCAGGCAAAGACTTTTGATACTGGCCCTGGAGCTTCGTTGATATCGGACGATTTCGACCCAGAAACTGATAAGCAACTTCAATTAAGAGACTGCGAAGGACATCTCAAACGTATCTTTTCGCTTTGTCTAAATGACAGGTATGGCCATCATACTCCTGCACGTTGATATTGGCTGATTGTGTCCAGAGCACCCCTCGAGGAATCACGGAAATGGGGGATCTACTTCGTCATCAACCTTCTCTTCAAGACCTACTTCAAGTTGAACTCGGCTTCCTTGTCGCGGACTATTCTCAAGACGCTGGCTGTGTACAATGACAAGGGCGATATGCCGCCTCTGGAAATGTTCCCAAAGTCCCAGCGAGTGACTTTCAAGTTTTACGAAGGCGTATTACTATTCCTTGAGGAGAATTACAATAAGGTGAGTCTACAGCTACTCGCCAATGTCGTCAATGCTGTCAACTAACAATATTCGAGGCCGAATCCCATCTTAATGAAGCGTGGCAACTATGTCACAAAGACGCTCTCCGTCAATCCGAGTGAGTGAAGTATCGACACAAGCCGTGAAACATATACTAACATAGCTATAGGCGAATCCTGACCTACCTCATTCCATGCCGCCTCCTCACCAGTCATGTCCTTCCTACCAAAGCCCTTCTCGAGAATTATCCTCGTCTACAGGGACTCTTCCTGCCTCTGGCCAACTGTATCAAATCCGGCAACCTACAAGCCTTCGATAAGGCTCTACAAGATGGTGAGGCCGAGTTCGTCAAGCGGCGTATTTACCTTACCCTTGAGAGAGGCCGAGACATCGCCTTGCGTAACCTGCTACGTAAGGTCTTCATTGCTGGTGGCTTTGATGAACCAAAAGAGGGCGAGACGACCCCGGTTCGTCGTACAAGAATACCTGTGGCCGAGTTCCAGGCTGCAGTTAGCATGGGAAGCGGTCATACGGTCGACCCGGATGAAGTCGAGTGCATGCTGGCCAATATGATTTACAAAGTAAGTTAACGAATCCCTAGTGTGGATAAGGCGCTGGCTGCCTTTCCGGTCCAGTAACTTCTTTGGCCCAAAATGGTTGAGAGTTGTCGTTGGCATCTGCGTGGCAGTCAGTTGACTATATAATCGTCACCAAATTGCTGCCTTAGCCAAGTGTCTGCCTGGGGCATTGAGGGCTCTTTATCTACACACCCTCCACCTCTGCCTTACAAAGATCTGAGTCACTAACGTTTGTTTGTTTAGGAACTTATGAAAGGCTATATCGCACGAGAACGAGGCATCGTGGTGTTGTCCAAGAAAGGCGCCTTCCCCGGCACAGGATTGTGAGACTGCAGGCTAAGGCTATTGGCTAAGACACGCCTGACGGACGTGAGAGAAGCTTCAGAGCCTAGCTGCATTTCTTAAACTGACGACTACTACTGTAAGAGACTCTAGTAGCATGAGGCAGAGTGGATAGACACCGAAACCGTCAGAATGACGCTGGCGCCAACAAATCATAAAGCACTTTCAGCTATGTCGGTTTTGCATTTGCTTTTTCAGCCCAGCTCACAGTTGCGCTGATTTGACCTCCTTGCTTGTTCCGGTTATCTTTGCACCATGTTCACGCTTGAGAATAACACCGTGAACCACCCTTGCGTCTCGCAACTTCGAGCCTGCACCCTCGTCCTTGCTCTTCCTCAACTATTGATGCTTCAGAAAAAGCACATTCCCATGCGTCTACTTACTCGGTAGCCATGGTCGGACAGTTCGGACCTTTTGTCAAATGCGAGACGTTGTTGAGCCCCCCACATTTCACATTCGCAGTTTGCATGGTTCGCTTGCTTCCTCACAAGTTAGATCGCACCTTATCCGACAGCGTGACTCACAACCGGGGATCTCTTCCGTTATAAGCGACTTGTGTTTCACGATGTAACTGGTCCTTGGCGAACCTTGTTGGACGCCACATTTGCCGTTCTCAACAGGACTTTTGGAATCTCACTGAAGGAAGCACAGCGAACAAAGTAGTGTAAGGCATAAAATGTATTTGAAAGCTCGCTCTGTTCAAGTTCGTGAAAACGAGCGTCGTGAATAATGATACATATTTTGGTCCATCCATCTCAGATGACAGTCTTGGTATTCTCAGCGCAAAATCATCGTGAAAAATCCAATATCAAGCAACCGGCTCGCGTGCAGCGTGGCCGAAATCCCAAAACCCCTGCTCCAAATAGTAGTCGAACCCTCTAGGGGTCTGTAAGAATAATAGTTGTACAGAAAAGAAAAGTCCACGCCGAATTTCAACCGTTAGAACTCCGTGCATAAGATATCAATAAAGTGCCTGAACTCCACCCCAGTATTTCTTTAGTTTTAAGGTATTTGTCAGTACTGCGAAGTCGACGCCTTGTATCGAAGAGAAAGGAAATTCATGTTTCATTAAAAGGGAGTAAAATCCATGCAGAGAAGCAGGTGCATTAAGAGAAGTGGCGGTTTGAGCGAGGAGTGTTTCTATGGTCTTGTTAGCGTTTGGTGTGAGATAAATGCTGAGACTTAAAACTCACTGTGCGGTTGAGATGTCATCGACATGATTGCAAAGAGCGACAAAAAGATCGAAGAAAAGTTGAGTGCCACCGTTGTACATCTCGAGTTGCATTGTACCACTTCGCTTGAAAGTGCTTCGTGAGCGAATGATGAGTGCAAGATAATGAGCTCGTAGCTTGGAGTCAGTATCAGGAGTGTTGGCGTAGGCATATCTTGCTGACGCAAGGATGGTGCTGCATTGGATTCCGGATTCTGAAAAAGTCATCAGTAAAAGGTTAGAAAGGGAGAGACTGAAAACATACGCAGCCCTTGCTTTCGCAGCGACAGTTTCTTCAACTCATCAAGACCGTACTTCTCCGCCGCACAGTAGATGACAGTGTCCTTGAGAAGATCACCGTCGATGCCCCGATGATAAACTGTGCTCTCAACAGCAGCACGCTGTTCTTCGCTGGCAGCTTCAAGTTCGTACGAGTTACGACGTTTGTTGTGGACGAGACGGGGAGTGTAGTCTCCCTTGTAAAGGAACTCAAGAACAGAGCTGAAGATCTCGGGTTCTTCATCGGGAAGAGAGATTCGTTTGCTGGCGACGTCCATGTATCCATTTCGTAGAGCATTGTTGAAGAAAGGGCTAGTGGCAAGAACGTCTTCATGAGCGGCAAAGAGACGTTGCTCGCTGCCAACCACGAGAGTGACGATAGGGGAAGCCATGTTGTTGCTGAATCGTGTAAGTGACGATTCGGGGACTGAAGAAAACAGTGACTTACTTATCCATCATAGTATCACCACTGGCACTGGTCATGGAAGTCATTGTTGGTCGGCGATGGCGAGACTCATGTCTTCGCTTGGTGATGCCACTGTCTTTGCTGAAAGAAGAACTCGATTTGCTGGCCTTGTGGCTTTTTGAGAAGCTCTTGCTTGAGCTCTCGTGGCGTCTGGAGGAGGAGAACATGTTGATGATTTCTGAAGGAGGTTTCGAGTGAAAGTGGTTTTTTTGATTATTAAATGATGGGATCGCTGAGTTGTTTTATACTCGTTGGGCCGATAACGAGGTTGACGGCGAAGTAGGCAGAGACAGAACGAGGCAACAACAAAAGAATGAGGCAGATGAAAGAAGACGCCGGAAGAATATCGTTGGGTATTTTGGAAAATTGAAACCTACCTCAGGTTCAAATAGTGATTGGAAATGATCACTCTTCTGATTCGTCTCAAGATACAAGAACAACTACGAGATGGGAGAAGACACACCATCTTTATAACTCGAGATGGATGCCCCGTGCGGAACAGTACGAGATGGTCTGCCTGATGCAGTGCTACCCCCGCTAATGAGCCATCCATTCCATCCATTTCTCCTTTGCATGAGGCGAGTCAGCCCCGTCGGTGGTGATAGGTAGTACCCCAGACGCGTATGCTAAGAAGGGGGTACGTGTAGAGTGGAAAAAGTGGCCCACGATATTGACGCCAGAACACGTGACGCAAAAAAGAGTGTTTTGATCAATTCAAGGGCGTCTGCTGTTAAAATATGAACAGGGATTGAATGGGAGTCACAGAGGAAAAGGGGCTGGGAAAAGGAAAAACAAACGAAAGCATGGGCTTAAAGGTAAGGGGGCCTTGTTAGCGGTTTGACTTAATTGAAGCTGACCAAAGTCTCGGGGAGGGCATCATAACAAATTAGGGATCGATACAGCATGTGCTTCCACTGTTGGTGGTGCTGGGATGATTAATTATGGGGACCTTGCGTGCTGAATGGGGAACGCCTCAAGGCAGAAGCACTCAAGCTCATGGGACTGCATGATAAAGCATGCTCGACTATGGAGCTGCAAGGCTCTTGAAGTATGGTCGAGCCTCGTCATTTTTTGCATCATCTGAATCGTCAGCTCTTGTAGAATCAATTGAGGTCAATTGAAGGTCCTGCTCAATCGGGTTGATGATGTATGGCCATTACGAGGCCCCGTTGCCTATCTAATTCTCACGACTTCACATAACAGCTTCTCCCCTCCAAGCACACTCTCTACCACAACTTTGTCCTTTAAACCCATGCTGTTTTAATTGATAGTGGATCTTTTAGCCTTTGGTCGGTGGGTATGATTTGTGATTTAACCAGGGGAACCAAGGTAAGGTACCTGACATAGCTCCCACCACCTCCACACTCGACACAGCCTGTTGGGTTCTAGTGACCCTTAGTGCAAGGCTCGGATGAGAAACCTCCCTGAGGTTTGAGGGCATCGACGCTGGCAATGCCCGTTATACGGTTGACCGTGACGGCATTTCCTGTCACACACACTTAAGATCCCTGTACGCCACGGCTGCAGATGACCGATATGTCCCGAATTCACGCCAGAGAACTCGAGACTTGGACGTTTTGCCCCTCAACTTGACCAGTTTCAAGTCGAACCCTTCCCTGCATTGTTCACATCTTCTCCTTTCCCTAACAAGTCCTGTGCCCGTGCCCGTGTTGCAGCCGTCGAGATGGACTGCGCAAGTGCTTGTTTGCCCGAGACTCTCACCATGGCTTCGTTGTGAAGTGCCCCACGGACCTTCTGGCGCTCCACTGGGAGTCCAACGTGTTGGCATCGCTGAAGCAGTTCCTCGCCGTGATTGGCAGGTACAAGTTCATCTTTTCCGGCTTCTACTATGTATATCCCCGGTGGCGTATCTGGGAATCTCTTGGCTATCATGCCGAGGTTGGTCCAGCTGTCCAGGTGGTTTCGGAGAAATGGCCAAAGATATTGGTATGGAAGCCACTTCTGTGGATATAATGCTTGGAGCATTGCTCGGACGTTTGTAAAGGGTGTTTCCAGAATAATACCGTTAAGTTTTATGCCTGGAGGGAATTGGCCTTTGGCTGCTAGATTAGTTGCAAAACCACAGCCAATGCTCTGTCCCCAGAGCAGTGCTGTTGGTTTCTCTTGATCAGCATTCTCTGATCTACTTTCATGTAATTGGGCTATCCATTGCAGTGCTGCTTGTGAATCAAGATTTATGCCTGGTTCTGATGGTCTATCATGAGATGTCCAATACCCTCGATAACTCAGACAAACCAGTGTGTAGTTGACTGAGGGCTCGTTATCATGTGCTCGCCGTATGATCCAAGAGAGATCAGGCAGTCTAGGCGGTAACGACGATGCATTCCCTATAAACCTGAATAAGTTACTGTGCGGTTTGTCTATAAGAGTGCCAAACCTTGAAAGTAGAGGATGTAAACTGGTGTCTCTGTTTTACCAGCACTCACTTGAGATGCTGGGGGAACATCTGCTACACACAAGGCAATCTCTGTTCCATCCAATGACTTAATTCTCTCTTCCCTCCATTTCACACGTCCACAATCGCGGGAGAACTCCTCAATGGTCAAACTCCGGGAGTTAGGTGGTAAGAACGGATTGTAGATGATCGTATTCTGGAACAGAACCATCATCAAACACTTCCAACTCCACAATGCCACGAACAAACCAGTAAATACTAACGGCGGCATGAGAAAAGGCGGAACATGCAGGGACCTAGCGCGGCCCAGATGAGGCCTCAGAATTGCATGTGTCCATATACGCGGCTGATTCCTCATGCAAACGCCTCGCGAGCGCATGGCCGATATGGTGATGGCATGCGAGGCCATGGGAGCTGAGCTGGCGATCAAAGAAGCGCCTGGCAAGGGGAGGGAGAAACGTGGATTGATGTAAGTAGTTAGGTGCAAGGGGTCCAGGTTTATGACATGTTCGAACGCGACTGGGCTTGAGGGATATGCGACTGTGCGAATTGGGGATGATGTGCAGTGAAAATGAGGGAGACGACAGCTGATGGTGAGATGTATCTGACTTCATTGTTGGGTGTAGTGATAATAAATATCTCATAAATATTTCACTCAATTCTTTCAGAAGATGCTAATAATTAACCAATTTGTACTACTTTTCGATCAATTGAGGCGGATTCAATCTGATTAATCTGTCTCATGGTCTGATTATTGAGGTGATATCATAATGTCACCCATAAAGTTACAACGGTTTAAGCCCCGCCAAACACTTGCTGTTGTGTCCTGCAGGTAAAGTAAGGCACCCTCAGGAACCAACCATCCATAAACAGAGGCCCAAAGTGGAAGTGCAAGTGGAAGTGGGAGTGGAAAGCACCCGATATTTCAGGTCAATTTCTCAGCTTTTAATCAGCTTTTTCCCGCCTCCGTCACGTTCTTCAGAATCCCATCCCTCACCTTTTCTCCCTCTCTCTTCTTTACCGTCCCTCCCGTCTCCCCCACAATCTCAAATCGTCAACGTCTCTCTCGCTAGACTCAAAACTCGCTTACAAACTTGCATCACATCTGCCCCGCCATTACCGCCAATCTTCGTGAACAACTACATCATCGCCCATCTCGTGCTCTAAGAGAGCTCAGCACTCACAATCATGCCTGGATCCGATAAAGAAAACGACGGCCATGCGCACATCGAAGTCCCCAGTGACAGCGACAAGCCTTCACCGCGCCCAGATGGCGAGGCAAGCCCTGGCCTCAGGAACAGCAAGGGTTGGGATGGCAAGCTTCGCATGCCAAAGTCGGCTTCCATGACAAATCCAGAGGCTCTCACGGATTCTGACTACTCTGACGACGAGAATGTCATGAAGGGAGAGCAGATCGACGCCGATGAGGGTATGTGCTGCACATCAACTTACATAGGGCCAGTTTGGACTAACACGTGCAGATCTGCTCGATGACGAAGATCCCGAGACGGACGAAATTATGTGTTCGCACTCTCGAATCGCTTCGATATCCTCTCTACGCCTCGAACGCTTCAAGAACGTTTCCCGTATCTGCCTCCGCCAAAACAGCATCGAGCAAATCGACGGCCTATCCGCCCTAGCCGAGACCCTCGAAGACCTTGACCTCTACGACAACCTCATCTCGCACGTTCGCGGCCTCGACGAGTTAACAAATCTTACAAGCCTTGACCTGAGCTTCAACAAAATCAAGCATATCAAGCACATCAACCACTTGACAAAACTCAAGGAATTATACCTTGTCGCCAACAAGATTGGCAAAATCGAGGGGCTGGAGGGGTTGGATAAGTTGACATCTCTTGAGCTTGGATCGAACCGCATTCGCGAAATCAAGAATCTCGACTCTCTAAAGGCGATCGAAGAGCTTTGGTTGGCCAAGAACAAGATTACTGAGCTCACTGGTCTGGGTGGTATGCCTAACCTTCGACTACTGAGCATTCAGTCCAACCGTATAAGCGATTTGTCACCACTCAAGGACGTCCCTACGCTTGAAGAGCTATACATTTCACACAACATGCTGGAATCTCTAGAGGGTCTGGAGCATAACCCCAAGCTACATGTGCTGGATATCTCAAACAACAAGATCACCAGCATCAAGGGTCTTGAGTCACTTGCTGAGCTGGAAGAGTTGTGGGCCAGCTATAATCTCATCGGCGATTATAAGGAGGTTGCCAAATATCTTGCCGATAAGAAAGAGTTGACAACAGTGTATTTTGAAGGAAACCCGCTGCAACTGCAAGAACCTGTGGCATATAGGAACAGGATCCGAATGACCTTGCCGCAGGTCAAACAGATTGATGCCAGTAAGTCAACTCCGAATCCTACAATTTTAGAGATTGTTGCTAACCATTTTTGCAGCATTTGTTCGAACGTGAGTACGACTTTTGAAGGCTTCATCACAGAAAGCATGGCGTTAAGGCAATGGAGTTTGGCTTTTTTCGATATTCAGGGTGGCATCAATGGTGCATTCAATAAATGGTTCATTCAAAGACAGATAAAGCTTTATGTGAGTTACAGTTTAGACAAGGTTCTAGAACAAACACAGAGTTACCGAGGGCATAGGCAGTCACACACTGCTCGCTCAGTCTTGGTCATATCATGGAGCAATCATTTCCCAAAACGATGATCATATCATGAAAAAGTGACCGAATTTGTTGAAGGGTTAACTGTCTTTTGTATTCTATGAGAGCGTCTCATCAAGTCCTTGCGGTTCTACAAAATGCAGCCCATCGTCATGTAACGCCAAAATATCCCAAGCAATCATGTTTCCAATGCTTCTTTCTTTTACTATCATATCATTTCAATGTCATTATTTAAGCGAAGATCCAGAGCTTCTCAGTAGGGAAGTACTGCGAATGGTCAGTATTGTCTTTGGCAATCAATTGAGAGTGAAAACTTACGTTGGTGGGCTTGTTGAACTTGAGGTTAAGGTTCATTCTGGCAATGCGCTTCATGTCCTCCTCATCAATGTCCCAGCCGACACAGCCAAAGTTCTGGGCCATGTACTCGGGTGTGGTGCTCTTGGGGATGACAGCAAGACCTTGCTGTGTGGCCCATCGGAGGAGAACTTGAGCGGCGGTCTTGTTGTACTTGCTGGCGAGGCCAGTGAAGACCTCGTGCTGCATGAGAGGAGAAGCAGACTTGGCAATGTCCATGTCAAGCTCCATGAAGCCAGCAGGGCCGAAAGAAGAGTAGGCCGTCAGAGCAATGCCCTCAGCCTTGGCAAGGCGGACAAGCTCGGTCTGCTGGTGGTAGGGGTGAAGCTCGACCTGGAGGGTGGCAGGTCGGATCTTGGCGTACTTGAGGAGATCGTAGATGGACTGGGCCTGGAAGTTGGAGATACCAATGGACTTGGCAAGACCCTTCTCAACAAGGCCCTCCATGGCGCCCCAGGTCTCCTCGTTGGTGGCCTTGCTCCATCGGATCTCGGTGCCGGCGTCGTCGTAGTGCCAGCCAGGGGGGTAGCGGACCTTGGGGTCGACGTACTCGAGGGCGACGGGGAAGTGGATGAGGAAGAGGTCAAAGTAGTCGATCTGCCAGTCGGCAAGCTGTTTGCGGGTGATGGGCTCGACGTTCTCCTTGTCGTGGTAGGTCTGCCAGAGCTTGGAGACGATGAAGAGGTCCTCACGCTTCACGATGCCATCCTTGATAGCGCGGGCGACACCCTCACCGCAGGCCTTCTCATTTCCGTAATCTGTTGTGAAAAATACATTAGACTCTCTGTAAAATTCTGGTTTGTCCGGGTAAAAAGAGAAGTCATGAAGCTATCATGGTGTGGGGTGAAAGCTCCAAGTGTAGTGGAGGGGTAGTTTTACAGGGGTAATGTGGCTGTTTTCTCGGTGCAATTGACAATTGGCAGGGAAAATGAGGGGCAGAGAGACAAGGATTATCTGGGGAGGGGCAAAGTAATGGGATCATGGCCGTGTAATTGAAGTTTGGCGACGGCTAATTGCAAAGGCAATTGGGGGTTTTGGAGACAAACATACCGCAAGCACCGTCGAGGAGACGGTATCCAGCCTTGATGGCCTCGTAGACAACATCAGCACAGTTGTCGTCAACCTTCCAGAGGCCGAAGCCAATCTGGGGCATGTCGAAGCCGCTGTTGAGCTTGATGGTGGGAACGTTGACCATTGTGACGGGTGTTGATGTGTAAGAGATGTGGTGTTTGGTTGATAGATAGAGTAGAGAGAGGAGGAGAGGAGAAGCAAGAATGGGATAGACAGCTCAGAGGAGGGGACAGTAGTATTTATATTTATGCTAAGAAGAACACATGTTGCTATTATCCTCAGAGGTAGCTACAGTACCAACCTACCTAGGCAGATATCGTATGCCCTCATGGGTGCGGCATGACAAGCAAGGGGCAGAGTCCATACTACGTAGTATGACATGGTATGGAATTTGATAGCGCTACGCCTTCAAGAAGAAAAAGGCCATGAATAACGTTGGCATGAGTGCGCGTATTGTTTCCGCGGGTCATAGAATGTCACTCCTTCAGGCCTACAGCATCTGGTGCAGTATCATGGGATTGCTCCCAGGGTGTGTAACCCCCAAAGGTACAGCAGAGTAGAGAGGTGTGTGAAGGCGGCAAATGTCTGGGTAGAGCCCATCATGCGAGCCAAGAGAGAGCGAATCGCCGTATTAACCAGCCCAGTTCAGCCCCAGTTTCTTCTCTGCCTTCCAGATTATGCCGCCGTTGGTGGGGCATAGATTGGAATTCACCCGGCGGATGAGATGGCGGGCATAATTATTGGATGGGTCGTCATTGGGTGAGGATGAATGCCATGTGTAAGTATGTAAATATGTAGGGTTCATAATTGCAAGGGAAAGAGTAATGTTCTGGATAAACTAAATCTCATCGCTTATCGCTGTGAAGCTGAATATTCTGTTATAAGTCATGGATCATGATATTACCATCATCGCCGATTATTACAGTGCCTGCGTACGTACGGAGTACAGATGTTACATATGACGAGTGGATATTTTAGTGAAACAGAATCTGATCATGAAAACTTTCAGCCAAAAGAAGAAGAAAACAAAAAAAAGGACACTAAAGTAATGGCCGAAGCTCCCCGAGAAGCAATCACTCTAGCCACTCACTGTACATAATGTGTCAGTCGTTCGAGAACCAATCCAGTCCAGTCTATTCCAGGGTATGGATGCTTCACCCCGCAAATCTAGGACTAGACCAGCCACACCAAGACCCCAGTTGAGAGAGACAGATGAAGATGAAGAGGAAGGATAAGCAGGATCTATACCACAAAAGCAATTGTCTTCATGCGCCGCAGATTCTGTATGTTTCATGACACATGTGCCCCTGGTCTCAGGGTTGGCCTTTGTGAGCAGCCTATTTGTGCGTTTATTCTGTATCTTCAAGTGCCGCGTCTAAGCCAAGTCGACTTTTCCCTCGCCCGGGTGTGTCTTGAGGCATCTCTCTTTTCTGTGATTGATGCGCAAAACCTGTGACAGTGACAAGAAGCAACTCCTTTCCATCTTCAAGGTTAAACATCCATACCAACATAGGCGTAAGGATCCCCTAACTCCGGGCATTTCGCCGCATGACCTCCCCCTTCTGCTACTCTACTCTACTCTATTCTGCCAAAATCTCTGACGTGGTCCATATCTCTCGGCTCGGCGTAATTCCAAGGTTCCCTAGTCTAGGTAAGTACGATATTGGCCATGTCATGTGGATTTATCGCGGGTGAATAGACCTTCAATCTTGGGGCCATGGCCCATATCATGATAACTAAAAAGAAGATTTAAGAGCCTCTGAGGGTCTTGTCCTTCCGGAAGAAACCATCGATTTAGCCTAAAGGCAAGTGCCCCAGGGATGAGCTGCCCGTTGTCCCACAGCAGCGGGTAATCTCCAGGCACTCACATACAATCCCCACTCTAAATGTTGCTCTGTAAACACCCCTACCTACATCACACCCATCATCCATGACAATCTAGTGAGCAAGTCCCATGATGGGGGAAAAGAAACGAATGCCCAGGGTCGGGCAAGAGCTTGAGATGGCCAAGGTCAACTTCAATGGATCCAATTTGCCCAAAATATTGTCAGAGGCTGACGTTGAATAACCTCAATTGCTATACGACAAAGACTACTCCCTCTCAGAGTGGTCCTGACTAGCTTACACCAACAATAGACTCGACGCTTCAATCATGACGAGCACCTCTCCAGCTTCAAAGAACCCTTTCAAGCTTGCGCATAGTCGCATCCGTGATCATGGTTCCCGGCGACCAAAATAGGACCATCTTGATATGAAGGGCGTCACCAGGCTGATGGACAAAGAAACCGCAAAACCACCAACCCTCACGGAACCACCGTACCTCTTTGTCCAAAGACACCCAATTTCGGGTTCGATCCCCTCACAATGTCGTCCTCGCTGTTCCTTTCAGATCCCGGGGCTATCAATTGTCAATGTCCAACACAAAACACTCGTGTCTTGAAGGACCCAAAGAGCAGCTTCTTCGGTCTTTGTTCAGTCGAACAAGTTTATTACCATCGAATCTTCCAGCCTTTCCCTGCGTGATACTCACTTTCGACACCATCAAACTCGATTCGGCACAGTCTATCCAACATGCGTCCCCAAAACATTCGTATCAGAACAGTCCAGCTGGGCTTTGAGCAAGACCAGCAACGACCCCTCGAAGACTGTTTAATAGGCCAGCGAAACACTCATGCTATGCAATCAGCTCTGATTCGCGGCGATGAAGAGGTCACCCTTTTTAATCGGAATTCGATTCCACCACATCTGTGGCAGGGCCTCCATCTGAGTGAAAATCACATAGGCCAAGAGGCAGTCGACCTTTTCATAGATTTGGCACCGCGCAACGCACCCTGTGATCCTCATGGCAACCTTTCACGAGACGCCCGAAACAGTATAGAAAACAGACGTTGGAGTGGCCTGAAATTCAAGTTTATCAAGGTGCTTGCCGAGGGTGGTCATGGATACGCCACACTGTGGGACGTCGTTTTTGAAGACGCGTCTGTCAGGAGGGTCGTGATTAAGAGAGCTATAAACCCTTCGTCTGATGCCTTCGATCCTCAAGCAGAAGCCATGTTTCACTTGCGGTATGACGGTGCCCAGCACACGACACAAGTTATCAACTTACATCGCGAGGTAGTGGCTATACGCACTGATATGTTGAGCCGTGGCACATTTACTCACAGTGCCTTCAGAAATGGAAAAGAGTGGAAGGCCGAAAGGGAGAATTGCGTTGTTTTTGAGTTTATGAAATTCGGTGACATGGCCAACATCATGCAAACGGTCACTACGAGAAAGGTTCAAATCCCAGCTCAAGTTCTATGGGGAATTTGGGAATGCCGTAAGTCATCTTGCCCCGAAGCATTGTACCTTACCTTCTCGACTGATTTTGTTGAATAGTTGTGCTTGGTCTCGCAACTATTGCTTATACGCCATCCGAAAGCTCTGGCAACTCCAGTTTTGAAACGTGGTGGAAAGACGTAGTGTCTGACAGGGAGGAAGCAATAGCCTTCCTCGACCGTGTCGACAGAGAGTGGAACATTGAGCACGATGTTCATCTCGATCTAGAAGTTCTCAATGGTAAAAGTTTACAAAACATCTATGAAGGCCTTCTGCTAACCTCGTGTGTCTAGTTCTCGCGGGTCATGATCCAGCCACGCATCCTAATCAGCCTGTTTTCAAGGTGAGCCCGCACAACGATGGCGTTTGCCCTGTGTACATGTGTTGACTTGATCTCTTTAGCTCCATGATCTCGGTGCCTGGAGCTTTAATATGAACCATGGTTGGGAGACCTACAACGAATACCACATTTGGCAAATGAGAGGACCTGTTAAGCTTCATGCCACGACACCAGTATGTAATGACATGTCCAACCATTATTGCAGAACTCATCACTAATAAACACTAGGAGCAATTCAGTAAAGAATGGGATCGTTTTCTTATCAGCTTATCGACGGATAGCTTGAGACAACTCTTTGCAGGTGAAGACCTGGAAAGAGTAGACGGGGCGGAAGTAGCCGGCCGTTATGGCATATGGACCAATATATTTCTTATTGCGAAAGTTGTAAGTTTTCCTGGTCATAACTGACTCGAGAAAAACACTAATTATATGGAAAGATGGAGTCCGTCATGACGAGAGAACTCAGCAGGTTCCCTTATCAGACTGTTATCCATGATCGAACAAAGAAGCCGACATATGGAGGGAGACTTCAGAGCCCACAGTTCCAGCACATCGACCTCGAATTGCGAGATATCGTGGCGAGTTGTCTGCACGAGAAGCCCAAAGACAGGCCCCGTATTACCCATCTTTTAAAGAATGTGTTGGACCGAAAACAGCTAGGCTTCAATAATGAAGGCCCAGAGTCTGTTCATACATGGTGGGAAACCCTCTTCGAGCCTCAAGCGCCAAAGCCTATCCCTGCACAAGCACCACCGCCCCCGAATCCTGTCAAGCAGGCCGTGGTAGCCTCTGCCGCGAAAGGAGGCTTGGCGATCGCGTCTCACATGGCACAAGCAGCTGGAAACCAAGGCGCGCCGAATCAGCCTCATATTCCTCCTCACATACAACAAATTCTTAACCAACAAAGGGCCAAACCCAAAGTAAAGGGACCTCCAGCACAACCTCCAGCACAACCTCCAGTTCAGCCTCAAGCTGCTCCTCATATTCCTCCTCACATCCAACAAATTCTCAACCAAAAAAGGGCCAAACCCGATATAAAGGGGCCTGCAGCACAACCTCCAGCACAGCCTCCAGCACAACCTCCAGTTCAGCCTCCAATTGAGCCTCCAGCTCCTCCCAAGGTTCTCCCTCACTTACGACACGTTCCTACTCACTTACGAAATCTTCCTTTTGATCAACGAGGGGTCCAATATGGTCCAAAGGAGCCTCCTACACAGCATCAGGCACCCCCTCCAGTTCAACCTCAAGCTCCGCCTAAGGTTCCTCCCCACCTACGACATGTTCCTCCCCACTTACGAAAGCCTCCTTTTGATCAACAAAGGGCTCAGATCGCTGTAAAGGAGCCTCCAGTTCAGCCTCCAGCTCAGCTTCAAGCCCAGCGGCCTCAAGCTCCTCCTCGAGGCCAGTATCAACGCCAAGCCCAGCCTCAAGGTCAGCACCGAGGCCAGCACCGAGGCCGACTTCAAGGCCAACATCAAGGCCAGCGTCAAGGCCAGCATCGAGTTCCGCCCCGAGCCCAGCATCCCCCAGCCCGGCCTCAAATTCTACTTCAAGCCCACTGGCATGGACCCCAGCCTCAAGTTCTACTTGAAGCCCGCTGGCCTGGACCCCAGCCTCAAGTGCAACCTCAAGCTCAGCAACCTCCAGCTCAGCAACCTCCAGCTCAGCAACCTCCAGCTCAGCAACCTCCAGCTCAGCAACCTCCAGCTCAGCAACCTCCAGCTCAGCAACCTCAAGTTCGACCTGGAGCCCAGCCTTATGTTTCTCCTCACCTACGAAGGGGCCAACGTAATGTAACCACTTCTGCACTGGGTGAGAATTTGGGGAACATACATCTCAAGCGCGCAACCCAGATATCTACTGCAAAGGTTACCCCTGAAATTTCTCCAAAATCTGTCAAGCCAGGCAGGGTCAGCAAGAAGGCTCTAAAAGCGAAGAAGGCCAGTCGCAAAGTGCCGCCTCGGAAACACGATGCTATTGCAGAGTATGTTAAGAAAGTGTTGCCAGATATGCCTGTGGCTATTCGCAACCTTTTGACTCGCTCGCAACATCTCGAATCGGAACTCGAGAAATATGGCTTTCACGTTTTTTCTTTCGCGAACTAAAGCCAAACATAAGGAAATGGTTTGGATTTGTTTTTGTTTTCGTTTTGTTTATCGCGATGGATATTCTGGCTACTGTGTCAAGTGATGCAAAATTGCAATATTTATGGTGCTTCTGGTGTATTCTTTAATCCTCTTTTCTCGTAATACTGTCATATAGAATTGTTTCTTGCGTGTCATTGCTTTTTTTGTTTCCAATATAATTGATTATAGAACTTGTTGGTCCTGGGTATCACTAACTCCTAACCTACTATATCCATCCACCTTGATTTCCTCATAACCAAGTCCCAAAATTAACTCGTCCAGCTTAAATACAGATAGAGACAATCTAGTTAATATCGTAGTTTGCATAGCGGCACTCGCACGCCCCAGACTCCGACTTTACATCGCCTACTTGACTACCCTCGCTGTCCACACAATTTGGTGATCCTCCGTTAAATGCCTTGCGCTGAACAACATCAACATCACCCGGCCAAGCCGCAAACTTTGTATTTTCAGCCGCCTCGTCGCCTCTTTTCCGCTGCGTCCACAGTGTGGCTTCGAAAAGCGTATCGTCGAAGGTACACTTTGCTGCACGATTGCTCGACGAGAGCTTATCATCTGGTACGACCGTCTTGTTCATCGAGAAAGAAAACTGAAGACGCTCTAGAGATGTATCCTTGTCAAGAACATTGACTGTCAAGTTCGTGAACGATGGTGCAAAGGGGTTTTCTGTGGATGAGATGTTGTACGAGGAGCCGTTGAGAGATGAGATTATCCAGAAGAACGTTGCTGATGAGCCCTTTTCGTACGGATAGCAGCGCCATGTTGAAGGGTTGGAGGTACAGTCTGTGGTGGTGTTTTGAAGATCTGTTTTGAAAGCAAAAGAACCAGCCGGGAATGCAGCTGGAGTTTCCGAAGCCGAAGTCTCCTGTGGAGGTGCTCTGTCTCTGAAGATGGTGTTAGTTAGACTCAATGTCTCGGATGTTCTACTTACTCATCCTTCAACCCTATCGAAAGCCCAATACCCAAAGCAACAGCGACAATAGCAACGCCCACGAGCGCAATCACCAATAGACAACATCCTCTGCGCTTATCGAGTCCACAAACCTTCCTCTCTCTATAGCTCCCAGCTTCAGAATACTCATGCTCTAAGAATTTACCCTTAGCATCGCTGTAGTTGTAGCTATAGCTAGGCGGTGGGGTATAGTGCGCCACGGGCGGAGCATAGTATACTCGACCTCTGGGTATATACGCTGGTGGAACTGCATTATTGCGAAGAGAGCGCCTGGGTGATTTCCTGGGAATGCGAAGGGGAGGTGTTGGAGGACTGTGAGATGAGGGTGTAGAGGCGATTTCGTTCTCGTCGATTGAGGGGAGGTAGGGACGAGAGATGGAGTTGAAGGAGCCAGTTCTGTAGTTGTGATTTCTGCTCATTTTTTGAGGTTGTCTTGCCCTTGGAGTTGTAGTTTATGGTTTGGTGGCTGGCGATAGTAGAGTGTATAATTAAGTTGAGTTGAGCGACGACGACGACGATCAGCGTCTATCGTCTCAACTGATTGAGGATGAGTAGGATAAAGAAGATGTAACAAAGAGAGTAAAAAAGACTCAATTGTCAGGCTGAGAGTGAGTATGTGAGCGTGAGTGTGAGTGTGTATGTGTGTTTGCTGATCTGCATGCAATATATGCAAGCCTTCATAAGTTCAGCTCAGGTCAGCTCAGCCTACTTCAGTCTTCAATTGACACAATCAGGCTCTGAATTTATTCTCGACGACTTCATACATATCTAGGAACTGAAAAAAGAAGGAAGAAGGTTCAGTTATCAATTGATGACTCTATCCCTCCTCTAGACTATCGATCCGTCTGCCCTGATTTTTTCGCCTCCCCCTCCGACGGCTACGACGGTTGAGAAATTCAATTAACAATTCAATGACCCGCCCACGCGGGATCGACCTCATCCGAGGGAGGCGTTTTTCCTCTAGCGCCTTTGATAGTTTGTGCTGTCTCTGCTACCTCGTGATTGGAGTCGGCCCTGGAAAAGTGGCGTTGCAGCTGTAAAGCTTGGCTTGGGAAATATTGGTTTTGGTGCCGAGTTTGGAGGGATCTGCAATTCATCTTTATTTGATCTAGAATTCCATCTCACTCCTGCACGTTGAGGGTCGACGATAAAAATGGTCCTATATATCCAAATGTGGTCTATCTTGAACGTTTGATAACCCTTGAGTCTATCCCTTGCCCAACCTCTCCAACGTCACGTCAGCCAACTTCTGCTCTTCTGTAATGATAGATCGTCTACGTAGATCCTGGAAATAATAGATACACAAATCCCGCTGCCTACTCCATGCCATACAAAATATCCCATCATCTAAACTCCTCGGGGTATTGCTCTCTGCTTACGTCAATCAATCAACCCTTCGATCCACCCTTCGCTTACTCCTGGCCCTCAGCTGCCTTATCTGCATATGTCGGAGCCTCGAGCACCTCGCCCTGGTCTGTCCAGACTGCTGCAAGCTCAGTCTCGATCTCGTCTCGGCGCTTCTTCCACTCGTCAACTTGCTCCAGCCGCTCACGGAGGTCTTGCAGCTCCTTCTCGACCTGCATCTTCTCACGCTCGGTGCCAATTCGCTCAAATTCCCACTCGTCTCCCCGCTCACCCATACCAAGGACCAGGTTGTATGTGTGGTACTTCTTGAGGGATGCACGTGTTGAGATGGTGATGAGTGCTGTGGCATGTTAGTCTGATGTCCACGTCAGAACTCGAAACAAACTATGACTTACTGATGCCTCTCTCCTTGCATGTTTCATACAGCAGACCCTCTACGTCACTCGAAACAGCGCTGGTGCCCTCGTCCACGATCGCATATTGGGGCTCGTGGTAGAGCACACGGGCAAAACCCATGCGCTGCTTCTCGCCACCACTGAGAACATCCTTCCATTCCTTTCGCGTATCCCATCCACCCTCTCTGTCAGGGAGGTATCCGAGTCGCGCAGCGTCCAAGACGCTCTTGAGGTCATCCTCGGACTTGCGCTTCTCCTTCATATCCACATGGCCATCCGGGTAAATGACTTGGTCACGGAGTGTTCCGGGGCTCAGATAAGGTCGCTGGGGAAGGAACATAATGCCATCCTGGCCAATATCCTTGGGACGACTGACCAAGCCTCGGTAAACTGGCCATAAGCCGGCCAGAATTCTTGCAATAGCGGTTTTACCCACGCCATTTGGTCCAGAAATCTGGTTGTTGTTAGCAATTGTACAGTTCCTATCATGGGATAACTTACTAATAGATGTTCACCTCTTCGCACGATAATTGATAATGACTCGAGCAACTCCTCACCTCCTTGAGGCCACAAACCAGGAGCAACCACTGGAACATGCTCGAATCTAACACCATCAAATCCCCTCTGGATTGTTCCTGAAACATCAGACAATGAATATAGTTCGCTTTGGCCAGCCCGAACGTGGTAAGCATCAGCATGTACCCGATGCAATGTAGAGATGAGTGTGTACACGCGGCTAGTATAACCTGCCAGTTCTGAGAGGTCCTTGATCGAGTACATCATACGACCACCTGCATCAGCAAGGGAGAGCATAAGCCTCTTGTTGGTGATAAAATCCTTCATACGGTTTCGCTCTCGGCCTCCTCGTACACCATTATCGCTCATCTCAGCTCGGCCGCCAACGCCACCCCATTGTGGTAGGAAGACGGGAAGCGATGCCAGCAAATATCCGTAAGCACTCCAACTATATTTGAGGATGAAGTCTTCCAAAATGTTATAGCGGATCTTCAGCATGTAGATACCCTCCATCCAAGTCTTTAATGACTTAAATTCGCGATTCAAGAATGTCTTCTCGGTATCTGCACCACCGTAAAACGCAACCTCTTCGGCATTAGCAATCAAGCGGGCATGTAAACTTCGGAAGTCACCCTCTTTTCGGCCTTCAACTGCCTTTAGCTTGCCAAATGGAGGTGAGAGTCTTCGGAGGATGCTGGCAGTCAAGAAGTAATTGCTCATGAGGCCAGTGAGAGCAAGAGGTCCCAGAGATCTATAAAGCTGATAATTGAAGACACACAGGTCAACGAAAGGTTTGCCGAGCGATGAGTAGATGTTGGCTGCAGCCGCACAAAACAGAGTCAGATCTTGGGTGATGAACTGATCGGCACTTTGGCCAACACCACCGTCGAGGTTAGACAGCTTGTAGTAGTTGAGGTTATCGTTGAGGTAAAGGTCATGGATGTAGCGTGTAAGTCGCGTGCGGAAGGCAATGGAAACCTTTGACTCCAGGAACTTAATCATGGCATTGGTATACGAGGCAAACCCTCCAAGGCCGCACCACTGGGATATGTGAGTATAGTGACTTCAATTTTAGGTCGAGTACTTACCTTGAGGATACCCCAAAGGAACGCCTTTCCGTTTCCAGCCACCAAGTCACGTACGATTTCACCATCCAGACGAGCGACAATAAGTGAGAGATATGTCCTTAGCATCAAAAATACGCCATGACTGACAAGTAGTCCGGCCTCTTTGCTAGACCATCTGGGGATCATAATGCTCATCAGACTGAGGAATTGGTGCAGGAAGGCAATATTCAAGCCTGGTTTCGTTTGCGCCGCTGGTACAGTACCCTCCCGGAGTCCAGATACTCGAGGGGGGTTTAGGAACAAACGGCGATGGGCGTCGAAAGTGAGTGGCTTGGTTGTGTTGATGACCACCTTTGATGTGCCATCTTTGTATGGAACGTAAATGGTACGCGAACCGTCCTTGTTGTGAAGCCAGGAGTTTGTGCGCACAAGTTTCCGACCCTGTTCACGCTCATGCCGTCGATTCTTCCACCATCGACGCCCGCCGACTCCTCCGAGGATAATTGAGATAGCTAGTGCCAATGTCGCGAGTAGACGAGTCGTGCGAGTCGTTCCGCGCAACCTTGTCTTTATCTTGCCAGTCCATTTGTCGAGGAAGGCGGCTAGCTGCTCCTCGGCAGCAGTATGCCGCAGTGTTGATTGCGCAGCCATAAGAGACAAGATCCGATGGTGAGGTGAGATGCAATGTTTGGTGATGACGTTGAATAGGTACCGTCTATTGTCGTTTGGAGAAGCTTCCCCACAACCCTCGAGTCTCTGCGAGGCCCTAATGCGCTTTCTTTATGTGTCCATTAGTGTATCGCGTGGAATGTGAAGGTTTCGCCGGCAATGATTCAAAAAAAAACGTGGTCTGTATGAATATCTTTGCTAAGTCCAAATATGGTTGAGGCTGACTTGTATCAAAAGTTGTCATGAGCATGTGAAATACGGGTATCCGAGGCAAGTGGCACATGGGACGGTCTGCGCCTGCTGCGACCTCACCTAAGCTGCAGCCGACGGATGCGGCGAGCGGGAATGACGACACAGTATCCAATCACATGATGGTCAAAAAGCTGGGGAAATATGGGGGAGCATCTGTTGATAATTAAGCTCTTGATTGGTTCGATCTACTGTAAGTGGGTGCAGTAGCTACCCTACACTACGGGATAAATCAATTAACGATTCACATGTGCTCTACGATAGATTGAACATAAGGTATTGATTGCTTATTGACTGATGCTACTGTCATATTTTCTATAAGCAATTTGTGGCATTGGGGTTGTTCAACCTTTAGTCGGCCATCCTTCATGGTTTAGGTGCTAGAGAGCCTTAGAATTTACACACTCCTATCATACCCATGTTCTATGTGTATATATCAGGAAAAGGAGGAGAAATACAACCATGAAGAAGAGAAATTTAAACATGAAAGACACAACTCCATAGCCTTAATGCTGTATAAGTCGTAATAAACATTACCTGTTGGTTGTAGTGTCTGCAAGACTGAGGCCATGATCCGGCGTCTGAATTGCACGAGATGGGAGAAGCAATCAAGTCTTGGCTTGGATCCTGCGCAAGGAGTGTTGGGCATTCAACCCATTCCACGACTCCACGAAGAGTGTGGGTATTTAGTGAAAACACTACTCCGTAGAAATCTCACAGTTACACGGCAACCTAGACTCCAGCTACGTCCGTATGACTTAGCGGCGGGTTGCTGATGTACTGTGCTCCGGGCTTTTCTTCGCCTAGCTCTGGGGTCGATGGAGTTTACGGATACATGATTAATGTGATATGGTATCGGGACGACTGAGAGAACGACTAACAAGCCTCACTTGATGATAAGTGGATGGCTTACGATTCAAAAAACGTGCTTGCCAAAGCCACAGCAAACAAGATTCATGGAAAGACGATTGACAGAAGTTAACGAGAACGCAAGGGTCCATCCCATCCCATCCAGCACAAGCTAGTAGAGGAGGTCTCTGTAACCGGCCACAGCGGGTATGTAGGTCTCTCAAGTGGTCGAGGCCAAAGGGCCCACGATGCATGGAGACATCACTGATCCGGGCGCCAACGCGACCAATCATACCACACGGGTAAGGACATTGCTCCCGGTCCGACAGGGATCATGTCTCTTTTCCGTGTCTCAGTCGTGAAAGAGCATGGAATTGTGGTTTGGAGCTTGAGCTGCAGAATGCGAGCATGAGAGACAAGAAGTTGTTTTTGGCGGGTATTCGTGGAACTCGGTGAAAGAAGGATCGATAAGAGTATGTACTTTGCAGTACCCGTAGCTTGCTGTTGAGTGTGCATAATCAACTAGCGAGTCAATGACACCGACCTACCAGCTAATGAGCCCGGTTAGGTTGGCAGAGCATGGACTGAATAGTATCACTTGCTTCTAACCCAGCAACATCATTTACGAGCAAGATAGACTCACCGGATCTAATACCTATAATCGACTCATCGATGACCCTCGCTTGTGGTTGCATGCCACGAGGAAACATTCAAAGAGCGTGCATCAGGCATCTCATCCCGTACGTCAGTGGTCATGTAGCACACGGGTGTGAGTTACATGGTGGCAGCCTCAAGACCACCCTCAGGATATGGATGGAACAGGACAGACAAGGAAGAAGCTTGAAAAGCTGGGGATGAGAGCTTGGGCCTGGCTTGCCTGGTTAACGAAAAACATCAATCCGAGTTGATGTCTTTCAGCTGTTTGTTTATGCAGCACTTGAAATTAAGCTCCTTTTTTTGTTCTGGTGAGAGTGCTAAAGAAAAGCCCACTGTTGGAAGATCGAGGACATGGGTATAGAGAAAAGGGCACTATTCCTTGTTGGTGGACTGGAGGACTACCTAAATGCTCTTGGTAAGGTTGTCTGCTAACTTCTCACCGGAGCATTATCCGGCTAGTCAACGAGGGGAATTCAGATCAGAAGATGGCTTCTGATGGCCGTGGCACTTTACAGATTGACTCGTGCAGTATGGTCTTCACATCTCATGTTCTGATCTCTCACATCGACTTGACAGAGTCGACATAAAGTAATGTAGGAACATGTATAAAGCCACCAAGGACAAGGGTCCTTAGGCGCCGCACCAAGCCATGAGCGGGCCTTAGCCAGCCATAGGACAGGGTGGTTAAGATGAGCTTGGCGGGCACCATTATTAGCGGAGATGAGAGACAAGGGGTGCTCTGTCACGCTATTGTGAGGCGTTGTAGATGCAGGTTTCGAGACTGTGTTGCTTGCTGTTGATAGTGCTCAAAATACAGTGCTAATAGACAGAAAACAGACAGTATACGATACTCCCCTACCACACTGGATGCTCCCGGAGTGCTAATCTCGAGTGAAACCCCACTCACACCTCCCTCTCCAACCCACCCCAGCCTCTAGGAGCAAGAAAACCTCAGACTCTAAGAGGGGATGTCAAAATAAACAGACTCAACATCTCAAGAGTTGTGTGATATATTGCTTGCACATTTCTATCGCTGCTGATCGAGGTCCTCAGTTTTCTTGCTCTAATCCACCCCAGTCAAGCCCAATTCGAGCCCCATCCCGTTCGGCCATTCTCAGAGACATCTCACAGGCTCACAGTCTTCCGCTATCCCCAGCGACCCTGCTGCTCACTGTTTCCAGCGCATAGCACCCCCGGCTTCCAGCACATCTTCTCACTGTCGCTGGCACCCGACTCGACCCCGTCGCCGTCGCCGCCGCCTCCGCCAGCCTTTCCATTCACCAACCTTGACCTTTTCCACTCTCCATTTCTCATCATCTGTAATAAACTATCCTGACCTGACCAGGGAGGAAAAGAGAGACTGAGAAAGTAAAGACAACCTAGCCCCCTGCACGCATTGCAACTGCTGTACCTGGCTGGTTCTGTTCTGTTTTCCCCCATTTCCCACCTCAATTTCCTCTTCTTTCAGCTCCATCTTAAAGGCAATCATTTCGCTTGCGCGCCCAGCAGCCCAAGGTCTTTTTTTCAGCCTCCGATCCGCCCGCTTTCGCCTTACCTACTGTACGGATACCACTGGCCTCTCTCCTCCGCCCGTCCTCCGTCTTTCCTCATTCACACCGAGCGAGCTCCATCCCCGACCGACGCAATCCCCCCCGATCAGGTTTCCTGACTTCTGCGGCCGTCTCGACGATAGGGACAATTCATTCATTCCTTCGTTCACTTCCGCGACCCTTTTGGTCGATTTTACAGCTTCGCTTCATAATCGATTTCTCGGTGCCGTTTGACTTCCAGCCTCCCCTGCCTCGGTCCAAACGCGCCGTAATCTCCCACCGTCGCCCTTTTCCTCTACGCCTGTATACCCCGTCGACTGTTTCACACTCGCCGCTCCGAGCTGCTTCGTTTCTTGTCGCGATTTAGGCCTCGATAGGCCATATTTGAAAGAGTTAGGGGTTATAGAGAATAAGCTGGGTTTTGTTTGGCCGTGGTCAACGACGTGAGTTACCTATTATTCCTCGCGCGCCTGCACAAGAAGTTGCGCGATCGATGGGACAGTACGACTTCAGCTGGAATTTGTTCTGAAATTCGTTGCGCGGAGGGAGCAGTTGTGCTGGGACGAGCTGTTTGCTGCATCAGGCACAGCAACCCGTTTCTCTGCACTCCTGATCTATCAACAGTCTCTATCCACAACGACCTGCTTCACGATCCCTTACACCAAGTTACAAAGAAACACCAGCTGACAATTTCACAGAATAACAGCAAACATGTCAGACAAGCTACAATCAAACCCGAACGACGAAATTCAGCCGCAGGCGAACTCTGCCAATGCTGAGATGTCTAACCAGGGTCAATTATCTTCAGAAGGGGGAGCGAGCTCTAAGAAAGGTCGTGGTCTCCTTAAGGTCCCATCAAGATCATCATCACAGCGGAACCAATCGTCACCAACATCTACGGGGTTGAGTGGGGCTACAGTCAGCGATCCCCGGAACAGCATCGGCAGTCGATCGAAAGACTCCAAAGGTAGCCTCCGTGCGCGACGACGGAACGGAAGCACTTCAAGCAACAGGACGGGCGGCGAGACTGAACCCACAAACACCGCTGCAAACACGCAGCCAAATTCTCCTGTCGCCCCCGCCCAGAAGAAGAAGAGCCGTGGTGGCCTGTTGGCTTTTCTTGGATGTTGTGGTACCCCCGAGGGCCCAGCTGGAAACGAAGATAACAACGAAAACGTGCACAAGCTTGACGTCCTACCTCCGCGCCCAACTTCCGCAAGGTCACGAACCAACACTCCTCAGGAACAGCCCAGACCAGCCTCTCAGAGAGAACCTCAAACAGCCGTATCTGCACCAGAGCCAAAGGACGAGGCTACCTCGTCAGGCTCAGCCAACAACGAAACCACAGCGACAGAGCAAGCCAACAGGGAATCGAAGCAATCGATTCCTCCTGCAGTTACAGTGGAGCCCCCCAAGCCCACACCCACAGAAGAGCAGCCAAAGGTGGCAGACAAGGCGGCTAATGACGGTGATGTGAACATGCAAGATGCTGCCACTGAAGAGCCAGAAGAGGCACCATTGGCCCCTGCAGTCGAAGCCCCAGCTCAAAGGACGATACCACCTCCTCCCCCACCCCCAGGTCCTGGTCCGGCTGTCGTGGCACCCAGCCAATTCACAGACGCTGGCCCATCAGCACCCGAGCCTCAGAAGTGGTTATTGCCTCCCATTGCCCCGGAGCACAAGGGTCGAAAATGTCTTGTTCTCGATCTTGACGAGACTCTTGTCCACAGTTCTTTCAAGGTATGCTTCGAGTAAAGGTGGATCATGGGATATGCGCTAATTATCATGCAGATCTTACATCAGGCCGATTTCACAATCCCTGTCGAGATTGAGGGCAACTACCACAATGTCTACGTAATCAAGCGACCCGGTGTCGACGAATTCATGAAGCGAGTTGGTGAGCTCTATGAAGTTGTTGTATTTACAGCATCTGTTTCCAAGGTGAGTCTGCCCGATTTAGAGATGATAAATGAGCAAACTAACAAATCTGCAGTATGGAGACCCGTTATTGGACCAGCTCGACATTCACAAGGTGGTTCATCATAGGCTATTCCGTGAGAGTTGCTACAACCATCAAGGAAACTATGTCAAGGACCTGTCCCAAGTCGGACGTGACCTGAAGGATACTATCATCATTGACAACTCGCCCACCTCATACATCTTCCACCCACAGCACGCTGTCCCCATCAGCAGTTGGTTCTCTGATGCGCACGATAACGAGCTACTAGACCTAATACCCGTTCTCGAAGACTTGGCAGGGCCCAACGTGGCCGACGTCAGCCTTGTCCTCGACGTCACTCTCTGAAGCATGAACATTTCATAAAACAACCTTTTTTTACTTTGTCAAAAACACTTTTCAACGATTCGAACTACAACCCCTTGATCTGCAGAGTTGCCATCATAGCGGAAGGCGTTTGGTTGAGAGCTTTCGTTTCCTGGTGTAGATGTACTATTGTCTAATCATACATAATTGAGCGGGTGGCACGAAACGAAACGAAACGGACCTTACCATTACGCTCCAACTTCCTTTTATACAAAAGATACCTGGCGGTCTTTGGTCGGCATGCATCAGCACAGAGGCCTCTTGAAGCAGGCTTTACCATTACATCTCACAGATTCGAAGCACAAAAGATGGATCAGCATCAGGAGAGGCAACGGGACACATATCAGGGGCTCTTCATCTCCAGGGACGGAGAGGAATGATGGGTAGCATGTCGTGTGCAGTATACGCTGGGCTGGACTGGCTGGGCTGAAGCAACAGGCAGTCTCACAAGAAGAGCCAAGAACCTGTCTTACCATCTCCTGGGGATGAAAGAGCTGGAGGAGGAACTGGACAAGTGGAGTGTATGGGATGAAGCGCCTTCGATGCGCGGAATGTTTTTTGTTATCTTGATTCCCTTTGTCTTGTTCTGTTGTCTTTGCTACCGCTTCTTATTCTTCATCTTGTCGTCGTTGTTTATTTTTTTGATTATACACCACCCCCTGATACATTCATAACGAGTCTGCGAGCGGACTCGGAAGCGAGCAAGAGAGCGTTTGTCGTTGATATCCAATCCGCCTGACCAAATGATAGGATCGACAGGTGTAGAGGCTACAGCCATCTCTCACATACATAGTCTCACTAAATTGTAAAATTTCTTAACAAAACAACCCAAAAAACAAATGATGGTGGCTTTTTTTGAATTGGATAAATCACATGTTTTTCTTTTGAAGCTTGACTTGAATTGGCAAACTATCGCATGGTCCGCTAAAAGTTAGCTTGTGCTGCAGCGGTGGAGCTTACAGCACATGGAGCTCATATTGTGGAGAGAGCTGTTCCCTGTGGTCCCTGGCCTAAACCAACCTTAGAGGCTGGAGCTCTCTCTAACTCGGACACCAACGCCACCGGAAAATCATAGCACCGGGTCCCCTTCTTTCTGGCGAAGGTGGCCTCAACTAACTCCCTAACCAGGGTGCTCCATTTACGGGGGGGAATTGCACAACACCTCCATTAATTTAGTCCCCGTGTCGTCTCTCTCGATCTTGGTTCCATCCATCAACGTCCAACTTTCGTACCCAAACCATCCTCTCCTTTATTTCTCGGTTCTCGGAATCCTGCAGTGATTCCTTTGTCAAGTCTCCTTCTCCAGGTTTAATTCTTCAACAATGGTATGACTGCTCTACTCCTACGACTTCAATTGAAGCTAGTGTCGCATTTGCGACTGAGCTCGAATCTTTTGACCCAAGAAGATCAATTTGCTGACAGATACCGTCGATAGTCTTCTCCTCGTCCTTCTTCTCCCGTCAACGGCGGCGCTGCTGCCAGCGGTGCTAACATCGGCCGTCCCTCATCGCCTGCTATCCCTGGTGGTCCCCGTACTGCCATCCGACGACGCGCTGCTGCCGACCAGAAGGAGAAGATTGCCAATGCTCGACCAAGCAGCACTCGCGCCGCTGGCGCCGGTGGTTCCAGCAGCACCATGCTGCGTACGTTGCCCCCCGTGTCTCGATAATTGGGAAACAAATGGCCATTGGACGACTGTGCTAACAAACTCGATAGGACTTTACACCGATGAGTCGCCCGGTCTGAAGGTCGACCCCGTTGTCGTTCTCGTTCTGTCCCTTGTCTTCATCTTCAGCGTCGTTGCTCTTCACAGTACTACCCCCCTTTGCCCTCGCAGATATCAACTGTGTATGCTAACTCTATTTCAGTTATCGCCAAGATCACCCGAAAGTTCTCCAGCTAAATTGCACGACGACGAAGGGGAAACTCAAAGAGAAGAGGGGGAGATGATTTTTTATGGAGTAGGACCTCTCACAGACGAGAGGATGCACCATCTGCAACGGGGTTAATACGGCCACACTGGAAATTTTGTTTGTTGTATTGCGGTTTATGAGGGGAGCCTTTGTATTATATCTCGGGAAAAAGGGTCCGAACCGACAATCTGGACTTTGACTGTTTTGACGCAAGAGAATGAGACCGATGCTGAGTGTATGTGTTGAACATTTGGCGTAGCATGCAGTGTCGTTCAAGTTATAGACCTCAGCGGGGGCTATATTGTTGATGGGTCCGTAACTGACATGGCATTTACTGAAGAGCTAAAAGCTCTATCATGGTAAATCATCTCTGTTAAAGTAGCTCTCGTAGACCAGAGGCCGCATACCAGTTACCAAAAAGCTACTATCGTACTTCGTCACTTTCGCCTGGCGTCACAGACTGCTCATCGGGCGTGGGTTTTCTTTAGTTTTGAACTATATAAATATCGAAGTTATATTGTAGTCTATGTAGTCTAGAATGTAATTGTTCGTATATTCGAAATATTCATCCATTGATGGTGTTCGATAATTATCTGCGGGGGCCGGAGTGACGGTGAAGTATGATACGTATCAGTATCTGAATCATGGCAAACTCAACTTTGTGATTAGCGATGTAGAAGCCCCTGAGATGATGCAGCTGGAGGCAAGCGTATTGAGCAACTCCATCGAGACAAACAGGTCTATTCAGAGGCTTATATCATTGTTGATATATCTATGCCTGAGCGAGCTCATGATGTCTTGGGGCTGCCTTTTTTGTACCATCCTCTTCAATGTAATACATGTCTTTTCCATAAAAAGCCCAGGTATCTGGTGTTGATGCGACAAATCACTCGAAAAGAGTCAGATCGCAAAACGAAACGAAAACCGGCATTCAAAAAAAGCCTCCCTTCATCTTAAGTCTCAAAAGATTACATAGCTGCTGCCTTCGAACTGCAGCATTCAGTGGAATAAGACTGGTTAGTAGACTGAGACTGGCTCGGTATGTCAGCAAATGAGGTAAATCCTGTCACAGGACAAAACAGCACGATAAATGCAGTACGTGATTACTCGAAATCTATTCTCTATAGAAAGGCCAAAGAATCGAATGGTGACACCATAGATAACTGAAAAGGGGGGTAGAGTGGCCTCAGTTTCCTCTCTGATGGTACTTATCTCATCGAAAACCTGACGGATAAGTCTGTTGGTTACTTCAAGACGATTGCGTTCCAAAAGCTGAAATTGATGGGGTTGTTGATGTTCTGGTCACCTCGTTCGTTGCGTAGCTTCGTCACCGGCCTTTTGAGAGTCAGCATACCAAACATCGTGGGGGAAAGGTCCCAAACTCACTCTTTGGCCGACCACGATGAGGCGGGCATAGTTCTGGAGCCGCCTTCTAAGTACAGCAGTTTCGCCCACAGGCTGCCAAATAATATTAGAGAGTATATATGGGGATAGAAAATGGATGAAGCCTACATCTTTGCAGCTACCGTGGTGACGGGCGCAGTCGTAGCAGGCTAGAGACGGATTTACTGGCCGTAGTAGTTAGGACAGGTCTCGCATGGACACCGACGCAGACAGCGAGATGGAAAGGAGGGCGACTTACAACGTTGAGAGTAACAAATGTACTTGTAGCCTTTGTCGACCATTCTAGAAATGCATGTCACGCAAGGCGTCCAGCGAGGTATACCCTTAATAGGGATGGGATTCTTGCTGGTGCACTTCTTCTTCGCCGGAGGAGAGTCATTGTCGATACTGTTACCATTATTCTTAGCAGCGCCGGAGACGTCGTCAATATTATCAGTAGTCTCGAGGATATCGAAGTTGGATGCCTCCGGGTTCTGTATCTGTTCGCGTCAGCTCGAGATGACAAGAGTGTGAGGAGGGGAGGACGCACAACCTCGTGGCCCTTTCTATTCTTTCGCTTGGAGCTACTATTGATACGAGGAATATCACTCATTGTAGCATTATGATACCGAGTTTCGCGAAGAACTTTGCTTTGTAGGAACCAAAAATGGGGAGTGGGTGGTGATGAAAGAGCAAGAGACTTGGGGTCCAGGAGAAATAAAGACCTCCCCCATCTGCTAGTCGATCGGACCTGCCAGGTTGCCATCACTGCCAAACACCGAGCAAATGGATTTGGCTTGCACAAAACCCTTTCATTCTTCTGTTTATTCTAGTGCAAACGTAGATCTACCTGGCTTATTGTCCATCTCGACATGTACAAGATCACTTCACTACAATACGGACGATACAACTCTTACAGCAGCAGAAACTGGCGTCTGTAGGGACTGGATATGCATATAAATCTTACTCTTCTGTACAGGTTAACTAAAGGTGTAGTTACGGGCCCTAGATCTAGCATCCACAAGACCCTTCAACACACGCAGCTAATATCTTCAGCATCCAAGGTCTCGTTACACGTCAAAGATAAGTCTATGGTAGAGGAGAAGCTCAATTTGATATGGCAACTAATTTCTACCCAACAAGCCCAATTCAAATACGACAAAAGGACGATACGGGCTCCTCATCCTCAGACTTGGTCTACACAGTTGGACCGTCCTCCCCGTGCACTCTGAAGAGCCTCGACGGCTGAGTGAAGCTCTTCATACCTTTTTCCCAGAGTCTCAACGGCTGAACGAAGCTCTTCATACCTGTTTTCCAGAGCCCGAATACCCTCAGTGTTTTTATTCAACACCTCGGCCTGACTCATCTCCCCCCTGTCCCTGGACTCCCTCTTAACCTTCTCCACGAAGGCCAACCAATTGGCAGAGGGATCCGGAGGCGAAGAGCGCGGATGCCGCTTCTTCTCGTCGTCAACTTTGGCCTGTTTTCTCAAGTTAGCATCTATCGGAGGCGTATGCGTTGTTCTATGGACTTACAGGTCCTTTGACCCTGACACTCCCATCCTGAGGAGACTTGGCTGTGCGTGGCTCAGCAAGTCGCTGCCCTGATGGCTTGAGTGAGACGTCAATACAAAGACTGAAAAGACGCTGAATATATTTCACTTACACCTTCGTTCCCTTGATCAGACATCCTTACTGGCCTGGTCTGTTGGTAGACTAAGGGTGATTGAGTATGGTAGTTGTGGTGTAAGTTGTGAACGACATGAGGTGTCCAAGTTAAAGGGAACAAGTGACTGGGACGGGAGCCATGATTGACATATATACATCTTTTACTGGCCCTGTCCTCAAGTTATCTGGCAAAGAGCTTGATAGACAGAGGCAGGGGGATGGATACATGGTGAATCATTAGTTAGTGTATGCACGCCGGCCGACTGCTTCTATAATCTGCCATCATCAAATCAATGGCATGATGCACGCATACACAAACGCGGTTGTTTGCACAAATAGGCACACAATTAGAAACAGCACTATTCATTTGTTTCGTGCTTAATGCGGGTATCCTAGGTAGTTTATTGCAGGTTTGTCGAATTCACATCACATCGTCCGTTTGTTGCGTTTACCGCCCTCATCTTCCTGACGGGCCTGATGCATCTCCCCGATTCATCTTCAAACTCTCCTCCATTGCCCGCTTCAACTCCTCGTCATCATCATCGCCGCCGCCCGCTGCACCCTTCCTCTTTGCCATTTGCTTTCTATACTCTTCCTCCGCCAAGCTCTGTCGCTTGACGTACTCCATAACGATATCTTCCTCAGACCGCTGGTTACTTTCCTGCTCCATAGCTTCTTTCGACGCTGCAATGGCCCGTTCAAGCTCATCGTCATTTTCTTCCCTCGGGGGGAGCGCCGGCGGAGGTTGTTTCCTCGAGGCTTCAATTGCTCGCTTGAGCTCCTCATCATCTTCCTGGGTGGAGGTCTGGGCCGGAGGCTGAGACACAGTGTCCGTCGCATCGAGCTCTGGCACATCATAATAGTCGGGCAGCGGCACATCGATGCCTAGACTCTGCTGAATGGCCTGCTCAACGAGGGCCTGATACTCCTCGTCCGTGATCTGATAGTCGGCGTCTTCGAAAATGGAGGGATCCTTCAGAGGAAGAGGGCCTGCCTCGTTTGACCCAACCTGTTGCCGAACAGCCTTGATGCTCTCACGGATAGCCGCCTCCACTTGGGCATCTTCCTCGCTGTTGCCACGCGATGTCTCCCGCACTGATGCCTGAATGGCCTTTTCAAGCTCGGGGTCCTCAGATGAGCTCGTTTGTATACTTGAAGCATCACTTGCGTTTGATTGTGGGACAGGTGCGTCCAGGAATCCCCTCTTCCAAGCATCCTTGTCGGCGTGAAGTTTCTTTCGTTCTTCAAAAGACATATTCTTAGTCTGTCTCCACCCTGTACGCGGCCGCTCAAATCCAGCCTCTGAGCTGTCAAGACGGGGCTCTTCAGGGCGCTTTCCTGCAACCTTTTCCTTTCTCTTCCACTGATAGAAGTTCTTGAGGTCGAACCTGACATTGTTCCATCTTTGAACAACATCATCTCTTTCGCCCGGTGTTGCGTCGTGTATCTCGTGCTGGCCCTGGATAGCTCGTGATGAAATAATATAATTCTGGACGCTCCTGGCAAAGAACTTGGAGACCTCTGCATTTACACCCTGCATGGTGTAAGCTGGGATGGCCCAGATACCTTTTTATGTCAGTACAACATTCCCAACCCTTCGAAAACAAACTTACCGGCTGCCGGCTTCGCAATCAAACCTCCGATGCCCTTGCCAAAGCCTTTGACCAGCCCCTGGACTCCCTCCTTCTCGGCACCTTTCAAAGGCTGTGTTACCAGACCTGTGATGCCATCAAACAGTCCATAGCCGAACTCCTTGCCTGCGACTACAACTCCGGAGCCAACTCCCGTCACCTTTTCGACTGGACGAATAGTATCATCATTATACAGCCTTGGCATGTTTCTGAAACCTCTGGCTAGTCCGAGGCAGAAGTTCATTGGTGTTCTGGCACCAGTGGTCACAACCCGGCCAACTCCCTTTCCAGTACCGACGGCTGCATTAACATAATTGACAGACGATCCACGACGCTGTTGCTGTTGCTTTCCAGCCGCTTCTTTGATCTGATCTATCCAAGATTTGTCATTGACCGATCCTTGGGTACTTGATTGGTCTGGAGACCAAGGACGAGAGGCGCTGGATGCTGTGTCACTCAGCGTTGGCTGTGATGCATTGGAGTGAGCAGTAGTAGAAACAGTAGAGCCCAAAGTTTCTGTGTCTGCAATACTAGGTGCAGGTGTCGATCTTTTCTCCGGCTCATTGCCCTGAGGTGCGGGGAGTGATGTCTCGCTTCCTGATGCCAGAGGGCTTGTGGCATTCTGTGCTTCTCCTGCTGCGGGGTTTTTCTTTTTGGGCTGCGACATGCTCTTGAAGAGCTCTCTGGGCATATCGGCGATTGCCATTCCGATCCCTCCTATATCAGTGACAAGTGACAATGTGCAAGCAGAGATTGGGTCAGTCGGCTGTTCTTCTGTGTTGTACTCCGTCATACGGTATCTGTACATGTTAGCTAAGCCCTGGCAATTTTCATGTCTCGACTTACAGTTTCAGGTCAGACCATTGCAGTAAGCCTTGCTCAACCAACACTGCAGCCGCAAACGCACTCAGCCTTACTTGACTCCTCCTTACGCGCCATGCCGCAGCTCGGCTTGGAGCCAAAGTGCAGCGCAACTTGTCCGTGTCCAGATGATCGTGGAAGCTCTTACCACCAACGTCAGTTCCTCTTTCTTCTCGGATTTTCTGGCCCAGAATCTTGGCCTGCTCCAGAGTCTCCGGTTTGACACAAAATTTAATGGCTTCTGCAAGCTTTTCTGCTGTCAGTTGCTTGTAAGGAATGGGGTCGGGGCCAGCATTGGCTCTCGCTATCATAGCACCCCAGAATGGCTGATCACCGAAGAAGGGGACCACGAGAGTAGGTTTTCCGGCCTTGATACCAGCAGCAGTGGTGCCAGCACCACCGTGATGTACCACACATGAGACATGTTCAAACAGCCAATCGTGAGGAACATTGCCAAGCATAAACACGCCATCAGGTTTACCAAGGTCATCAGCACCAAGTCCACCCCAGCCTTTAGAGACCAGTGCCCTGACACCTGAAAGTCTAACTGCCTCAAAGATCATCTCGGTCATGGCATTGGGGTCATCGACAACAATAGATCCGAATCCGATGTAAACAGGGGGTGGGCCATCTCGGAGGAACGCCTCTAGGTCTGGATCAGGGGCGTATGAGGAAGCAAGGTTGAGAAAATAAAAGCCAGCAATGTCTATATGTCGTCCCCAATCGTTGGGCTTGGGGATCAATGCCGGTGACCTGTACCAAGTTAGATATATACCTAAAATGTACTAGAAGAACTGACCAGCAATATGTCCAAGAGATCTTGAGTCTTGCAAGAAGACCAGGTGCCCAGATCAGTGAAAGTGGGGGGAGATCGAGTGCCTTCTCCCGGAACCTGTTGATGACATCTCCTAAGCCCTGCCAAGTCATCATCTCGACTAGTGTGTACGACATATAGTTCGTCATCACATCGTCTGTATTTGATGACTGGATATTTGCCAAGGGGTGAGGAAAGGCTCGTGTTGGGGACCAAGGCATGCTGAAGGGGCAATCAGTATTCAAAAACATCGCACCAAGGCAAGAAACTCACGTGAACATCATGTGTACTGGGATGCCCAACTTTTCAGCAATATGAACATGAGCGAAACTAGGAGGGTTCGCGATGAGAGCATCAGCAACAAATGGCTCTTGACCAGGTCCGCCTGATACCTCTAAAGACACGTCCAATGGAGCATTTGAGGCATGTGGTTTTGGAGGCGGACCGAGTCCGTTTCCTCCTTCGATACAAGATCGCCAACACCCCACAAGAATTTCTTGAATACCTTTTCGGCGTTTGCTAACTTCGCCACTTGTGATGGCGTCGAAACCAGGCATGAGACCGGGGTGTTTGACCATAAAAGCCATCAGTTCGGCAGGGTCGCCACCAATACTGAAGAACTCGAGACCATTCTCCTCAACAAATGATTGGAATGTAGGATGAGTAGCGATTCGGACTCTGTGTCCGTATGTTTCCTTGAGGACCTTTCCCAAAGCGACAAAGGGTTGAACATCTCCGCGAGATCCCACAATCTGCACGACGACATTTAGTTTGGGTGGTGGTGTTTGTCCAGGCAGACCTCCCAGACTGGGAGGGATATATGCAGGAGGAAGTTCAGGCTGTTCAGGCTCAGGTGCAAGTTGACCTTGGAGCGTTGGAGCAAGCAGGTCTGTGAGCCTCCTGTTCTTAGCATTAATATTAATATTGACTCGACCATCGCCTAGAGAATGACGCAGGTTAGTTTATACAGGCTTGATATGCAGAGATGGATGGTATGTACCGGTTATCGCTGCACCAGCGTCAAACCCAGGCTGAGAGAAATGAACCTGATCATGACTCTCTCCATAAGGGGGTGGTGCTCCAACTCCTTCAGCAGGGTTAATATCCGGTAACTGAAGGTCGTCTGAGGCTACAGCCCTTGTGTTTGTGTTATCGCCATCGCGGGGTTGATGCTGCCGACCCGCAGCAGCAGCTTTTTCATCAACAATGCCGGCCATGAGCTGCTCACAGGTGATGAGAGGTTTGAGAGGAGATCTAAGTTGGGACGCTCATTTGATAGTGAAGAGTGAGTGTTGTAGGTACTAGTTATAGATAATGCGATGAAGATAATAAAAGAGGTCGGCGGTTAAGTTAGTGGTTGATGTTAGTGGGGGAGGGAAGTTGAAACAACGACGTCAGCGGATACGAATCAGGAACGAGGCAAGGGTGTTAAGCTCTAAGCCACACGAGACCTAAATAAGCTGCGCTTGAATGCTTCCTATTATGGTAAATTAATCGATCAATTTTGTTTCTCGGACTCGCATTTTGTGAGAGTGATTAATTGTCGTTAGTAATGAGCTTACTCTTTCACTTACGCAAGCTGTGAAACACGAGATCAATCACGCCCGAATAGGACCTATATAGGACTAATGATTGTGATTCTGCCCCGTACGGAGTAGGTAGGCAGTCTTACAGCATTGTCCGTGTATGAAATAAAAATACGACGGGAATAAGACCCTGTCGATCAAGGGATAGCTATTTTCTAGGATGAGATGCCTTGGCGTCTGACGAATCTGCCCAGATACTCTCAAAGCTATTGCATGACTTGTGCTTATCCGCCCTTGTCCGTACGCAACTCAGCCTCAACTTTCACATTGATTAACATGCCGAGACTATTTGACATTGACATTTGAACGGTATCATCAATCTGAACACATGCTGTGACAAAACTACGACCTGCTGCCAAATGATAATACAACGTGACTGAGTGATTAAGGCGATGCTGTGCCATCTTGCACGAGACATTGAGGCATCGTGCTCAGACGTAGGCGAGTTCTGCATTTGTAGTATTGCTTGAAGTCACAACTGACCCGAAGTAACACCAATGAGTTTACGTATTTGTGGTACATCTCGGGTGTCAGTTGTGTGAGAATAGGTACTGTAGAGAAAGACGGCAAATGGTGTTGCTCCAAGTGAAAGATATAATCTCGACGTGTTCACTGACTAACATCTTCAGCATTGCCACGAGCGGAAACTATATGGTTTCCTTATTTGATGTATAGTCGAGATAAAGCACTGTTAAAAGAAGCTGAAAGAATCCTTTTCATCATGAATAATGAAAGCTTACTTGGCAAAGGGATCTCGGTGTGTGGCCTCGAGAGTTTGGTGAGAAGGCGATAGTACCAGACACCTCAGGTATATAGGCTAGCGTTATTCGCTAGCTCGTATAAATAAGTTAGTCACTTTGGCCGAGTGGTTAAGGCGATGCCCTGCTATCTCCGGAAAGCAAGGTTAGGCATTGTGTTCGCACGCGTAGGTTCGAATCCTGCAGGTGACGTTTCTTTCGCACTTTTTGGCAAATGAATCAACGATATGATACTTGTATAAGACATCAGCGCCGTTATTTTTTGGTCATGGGGAGGTTCATTTATTCATCAAACATAAGATTGTTGCCTTATGCTGGCTCTTTTTGTTGGACTTAATTGTTATAATTAGGAATATAATAGTTCAAAGACGAAGTGTAATATTGTCAACTGAACGGTTACTGATTCGTGTATATGACAGGTGGCAGGTGCAGATCCAGGTAAATCAGATCTGGCAATGCCATAGCCTGGATCAGTACGACTCTCACCCTAGAGATTAAAGAGACATAACAAGATCATTATGATAGCTGTGTATCTTGATATGATCGACAGACAGCACGGGCTTGCTCACACTCAGGTACTGAGACAGTGTCCCAGCAGTCATTCAGAGGTATCCACGGAGTACCCTTGGGAGAAAAGGCATTTCAGCTCTTACAGTTCGGTTGTAAATGATCAGAAGACCTGAGTGAGTCTGAGATGTCGGTTGATACCCAGTCACAATACTTTGCAAATGATCCACCAAAAGACAATGCTTGATATTGTTTCTCTCCTATTATGGAAATACCCTCGCAGTCTCGGAGCTAGCATGTCCTCGTCGGACGGACGAGATGGACGACCGAGCTGAATTTTTCCGACCAAGAGAGATTGTCGATGGTAGGGTCAATGGGTCTGGTCTCATACAAAACAAGGCGGTCTATGATTGATCAATGCATTCATTTTTGGTCAGTGGTTATTGAGTGTTCTGTTTGGTCTAACTGCTTGGCATATTGTCGATAGATCACTGTTGATTAACTTGTATTCAGTATAAGGCTTACTTGATTGATGAACAACATCTGATCAAAGATCATAGATTGATAAGACGAAAGATCAAGGCTGAGTCTACGTGGGGGGCCATCCTTTAGTTAGGCCGTTTGCGGCGCCATAGTTTCAACTCCAGGCGAGCGGGACGATTCTCTCTAGCGAGAACCCGGCACTTGAGTGACTAACGGAATCTCTGTTGTGACCGTTCCCGGCCTGACTATGCCTGTTTCTGGGAGCTCATAAAGAAAAATTGGCCGATAGATTCAGGAACTGACCGAGCAGGAATTCATGCCGAGATGAAGGGGACGTTTCCACTGAGAGTGCGACCCTTGTTATCTCGATATGGATGAGTTGATAAGGTACCCTGTAATTGCACATTCGGAAGGCGTTCTCCGTTCCCTGCTTTGGAAATGTTCTAGAAGACTGAGAGGGCACATGAAATAAAGACCTTGCATGGCGTGGCACATGGCGAGATATTCTTGTTTGTCTGTAGCTTGACTCGTCATGTCTCGTCTGCGCCTCATTTTCAACGTCATGTTCTGTTCTAGCTAAATTAGTTTATTAGACAAGCATAAAAACTCTAAATACGCATCAACCAAGATTACAAAACATGGTGGAGACTGTATCCGAGTGGGATATCGAGAGTGAGTGACATTCTCTCATTCATCCCAGCATTCGTCAAAAGATCCACCGAGAGATCCCTAACAGTGAGAAATTATTCAGTTCCTTGGCTTGTGATGTCCTCGTGAAACAGACGGAGGATCAACCGGATACAAGATGCTCTATGCGTAACAGGGGATTGCCTCATATGGACCACGGATCCTTATGTGAGCATTAGTGATCCAAGACAAACTCTGCTAGTTTTGTGATCCTCGCCTCCCTAGGCTTGTCTCGTGTTTGGTTATTTTCTAAGCTTAAACTACCTAAAGTTATCGTCAAACAAAACATTTCAGCTCAACCGCACAAGGGGGTTGAATGACTCGTTGCTCTGTTAATGTCAAGCACTAGAGAAACATACTCATGAATTGAGTCTGTCACAACTTACTACTGTACACAAGTCAATGCCCGATCTAGTAACCGTCTCCCGCGTTTTAAACTTCGGCGCGGTTGAACTATGCGATCGAGGTGTGAATGACATGAGTTACAGGGATCACCATGCCAAGAAACATGCTGTATCACTCCCAACATACCTAGCCCTCCACATTTATATCCTCGAGAACGGATGAATTCTGAACCGGAGCATTGGGCCAAGTTGCCAAGATTTGCGGATGCGCGCGTATATGACGAGTAATGTAGTATTCTTGATACCATATAGCAAAGAACGGGCAACAAACACCAAAGAGGAATGTAGTATAAACGAGAGGACCTCTGGTATCTTGTCACTGTCACTATCACACACTTACCTACTATATACAGAGTCCAAGTGGCAAGTGCCCATACAAAAATCCTTTCACCTGTTACAGAAACGGATCAGATAGAGTAGAAGCTGCTACAGGCGCAATTTCGGTAGTGGACCCAAGACAGCGGCACTCCGATGCGTGGCTCATCCTCTGCCGTTGCATCGCATTACGTATCGATGTCATTGGTCTTGGTTAGTATCTCCATCTCTTAGACTTTGCAAGGAGGCTTGACATGTCAGTCGCACTAACACAGACAGAGCAGATGGGTTCATTGTTAATCAAGACAAGGCAAACATCCTTGACCATGGCCATGGCCTTGACCTTGACCTTGACCATGGAATTCATGTTTCCGTAGTATTCGGTCTTGACATGAACTCTCATTCCCTAAAGCTTAAAAGAGCCGCCTCGCCCTTTCGATCAACACTTCTTATTCCCCAGCCAAGACACTCTTTACTACCCATCTCACACTCATTCTCATCACATCACAATGCGCACTCAGATCCTTACCAGCGCCCTCCTCTCGGGTGCCATGGCTGCTCGTCCTTTCCTCGAGCAGCCCGACACTGGTCTCGAGATCGTCGTCGGCGATCTTCCCACCGGAAAGCTCCCCAAGCTCGAGCAGATGATCGGCCTCCCTGACTTTGAGTGGGCTGCTAAGAACTACCTCCCCATCGAGAACTACACATACTACCGCAACGGTGCTGCCGGCGAGTGGTCGTACCGCAACAACCTCGAGGTCTTCCAGCGTTACCGCTTCAAGCCCCGAACCATGGTTGACATCACAAACGTCGAGAACACTCTGCCCACCAAGATCCTGGGCCACAACTTCTCAGCTCCCTTCTTCATCAGCCCTTGTGCTAGGGCTGGTAACGCTCATCCCGATGCTGAGCTTAACCTCATGAAGGGTGCTGGTGAGGGTGACATTCTCTACATGCCTGCCCTCTACGCCTCTCTCACCATTGAGGAGATCGCCAAGGCCAAGTCCGAGGGCCAGGTCGTCTTCCAGCAGCTCTATCTCACCTCCAACGACACTGAGACCCAGGAGCTCCTCGACCGCTCTGAGAAGGCCGGTGCTGCTGCCATCGTCTTCACCGTCGACTCTGCTGCCGATGGCAACCGACACCGTGCTGCTCGATTCGGTGTTGGTTCCGCTGACTCCGACTACTCCTACATCACCTGGGACTACTACAAGAAGCTCCAGAAGATGACCAAGCTCCCTGTTATCATCAAGGGTATTGGCTCTGCCGCCGATGCTAAGCTTGCTGTTCAGCACGGTGCTCCCGCTATTATCCTCTCTAACCACGGTGGTCGCCAGCTCGATGGCAGCCCCTCTGGTCTTGAGGTCGCTCTTGAGATCCACCAGGAGGCCCCCGAGGTTTTCAAGAAGATTGAAGTCTATGCTGACGGAGGTGTCCGATATGGCGCTGATGTCCTTAAGCTTCTTTCTCTCGGTGTCAAGGCTGTTGGTCTTGGACGTCCTTTCATGTACGCCAACGTCTTCGGTGTCGATGGTGTCAAGAAGGTCATCGACATTCTCAAGCACGAGATTGCCATTGACGCTGGTAACTTGGGTGTTCCCGATGTCCAGAAGATTAACCCCAGCTACGTAAGTTCATATCTGAATGTTGACGTCTGATCAATCACTAACAAGATGTTTAGGTCAAGTGGCAATTCAACAACTGGAACCAGTAAATATACATTGCGATGGCGTTAGGTGGCTGAGCTGTGGTGCTGGTACATACACATCTTGATTCAATTGTTTATATTTCATCATACATATAGATCCAAGAACATAGAGCATAAATCTCTTTACTACTTCTAATGCTAGTCCGAATCCTTCGTAACTCGTACCTTAAGGCACAATTGTGTTTCTTCAAAAAGTGCATCTTGATGATTGGTCATTATATGATACGTTTACTTGGTGTCTCTCTTGTATTCCTGACAACAATTTACAATTTCTTTACTCTCTATGATATGACAAATGGAAGAGAAGCCAGGGTAGCATCCGTAGGCCCGTATATGTTTATGTTGCCGACATATAACACAGATAAAGTGTATTGATATTATTGAATTCCGATTAGTTGACATGCAAGACATGCATATGCAGCTGCAGCTTTGAAACACATAATTCATCCTCTATTGCAGACGGAATAATCCCCCATCCCGAGATGGGCCGTGTCTTGTACATGTGAGAGTCATATCATGTTGAATGATCAGTCTCGAGAGAAATTCACCAACAAAATGATTTAATTAGAAGACTATTTTATCAAGTTTTCTGTCATGGGATTGAATCATTGCGGCTTAACTACAGTCAACGCTCATCCCGGCCCCGATCCGGCTCCGGGTGTTTCCCGACTTCAACCGGAGCTTCCCTGCTATAAAAAACAAAACAATGGCCACCTGAGCTGAAGACGTGTCCCTTTGTTTACAGCTCCAGCATCTTGCAGATAATGTCACGTTCCGTCAAGAAGCGAGGGCCTATAGATTCGTGATTCAGGTGGAACACAGGCCTTTCAGCTCTTATGTCGTGCAGTTACGTACATGGATCATCCATCTACGATCTCCCGGCGGCCCCACGGGGCGGTATGGCCCGAGTTACAATCCAACATGATAGTACATTGTTGCACTGTTGAGGTTGAGTTATAAATACCCGGAGATATCCTGAGCCCTTTCTCATTCCTGTTCTTGTCTGGTTTGGTTCTCAGTTCATGTGCTGCTTTAACCATATCACTTATACAGGACCCTACCAAACTTACATGGTCTTTAGATCTCCCGATACAATCTCTCCATAAGCTCTCACAATAGCCGGCTGTACTCCAGTCATCCTTGTCACTTCGATCCCGGGCCTACCACCCACGACAAATCTTCACCAGCTTCCTATCGACAGTTGATAGATAGTCTCGACCTCAACTAGAGCATTCACCATAACTCAACATGCCTGGATCTATCAAGTCTCTTAAGCGTCGGCCTACAGCCAAGTCAGCTGCCAAACGCATCGGCCGAATGTTCAAGCGTACAAACAGCAATGAACCCGAGGCAACTTCACCTGCAGACTCGGGCTTCTCAAAGGACTCATTTGACAGTTCTCGAGTTTCAACATCGTCCCGATTCTCTACATCCTCACGTATGACTACAAAGGAGAATATCGAACAGCCTCGCCCTTCTGTATCTCGATACGACACTGCACCGCCGAAAGAACGCGAAGTGGTACCCCCTCACCCTTTCTTCTCGTCAAACTCGGAGCCGCTTCTTGAGAATGGGAAGCCTGTTGGGCCTGACGTGCCAGTTCAAACTGAAATAGTGATTGAACCTGGCACGTTGCCTTCACCTGTTGACAAAGAGTTAAAGGATGAACCCAAGTTGTCCCAAACAAAGCTCGAACAGAAGCCTCAGTCGGTTGAGAAGCCTGAGGATATGGACAAGGCGTCAGAGCCACTTCAACAGATCACTACACCCAAGCAAGCACCACGCCCATTGCCAGAGCCCCCAGTAAAGAAGAATGTACTTCCTGAACCCGAGTCGCCGATTCTCCCAAGAAAATTGAGAGAGGAGTCTAAGGTCACCCCTCAGCCAATGCCCAAGTTCGAGGTGAAGATGTCACAGAAGCCCGAACTAAAGGTTGAGCCAAAAGCTGAGCCGATCAAGAAGGCGGTAGTTCCACCTCCAACCGTGGAAGATGAGCCAGAGGCTATCGTCATGCCCGTCAAGGAACAACCAAGACAGAAGCCCAAAGCTGAAGTCAAACAAACTCCCCCAAAAGTTGACCATCAGACGGTATCTAAGGCTCAGCCTAAGGATGTCCAGTCAGATATGGAACCCGAGGTGCAGCCAAAGACTCAGACTCACAAGAAGAGCAAAACTGTTCGACCTCCTCCTATTTCTGAAGTCACCCAAAAGCCGTCAAAGGCACCAACTCCAGAAGTCCCAGCTACTTCATCGGCGTCAACTGTTATCACGGTGCCATCCGTGACAGCAACATCTTCTGCCCCAAAGGTTGCTTCTATTCCCAACACAGCATCGGTTCCAACATACTCCGTCACACTCAACATATCAACAATATTTGTGCCCAAAACAGCCCCGGCTCCTTATACGGCTCGAGCCCCTATGACAGCCCCGGCTCCGATCATAGCTACTGCACCCAAAGTTGTCATGTCAATGCTCGATTGGACTCTCCCAAAGCCTGCTCCGATCCCTAAACGAGCTCATTCTCCTGCAACCTCATGGATCGTATCTTCCGCCTGAAGCATGGTGATTGATAAACTGCTATAATTTAAACAATTTCCTTTGTTTGATGCCTGTTATGATTGGATAATCTTTTACGTGTAATTGATCAAGATTGACCTAGAGCAAACAATAAAACAACCCAGGAAACTTGAAACTTGAAACTTGACGATGCGTAATTGTGAGGTCTATTATCTTGACCTCGATACGATATGCGACATGATTCAAGTTCTCATTCCTATACAGGCTATTTGACTACTTCATCCGAGGATTTCTCAAGATACCCTTGTGAAATCAAGCCCTGGACGAAAGCAACGACTCCTTTGATAGTAACAGGCTCGATAGTTCCCGGCTCGTCATATGAAGGGTCAAATGATGCAATCGTCAACGATACCGGCTTCGTCTTTGAAGGGATCATCTCGAGGCATTTCTCCAGATCATCTGCCAGCAATCCACCGTGCGCAGAAAACTTGTTGACGTTGCCAACAGAAATATCGAGAGCGTCAAGATCCAAGTGCACCATAGTTTGACTAAACTTCGTCTCATCGAGGACCTTGCCAAGTTCACCCTCAAAGTCAACATGCTGCTCTATATCTCCCCAAATAACGGGAAACCCAGCCTCCTCGACTCGAGAGCGCTCAAGGTCTGTCACATCTCGCATACCGCAGTGTACAAGGTTTTGTTTGAGATCCATGGCCTCGAATCCGTGAATACTAGCCAAGAGAGTCTTCCAGCACAGACCTGCCATCATGGCAACAGGCATTGAGTCAAGATATCCACTCTTAAGGACATCAGGCGTGTTGAAGTCGTCGTGAGCGTCGAACCAGACACAAGAAGGTACTTCCCCAAGCGCAGCTGTTAAACCAGCTTGAACACCAACAGTGGTTGAACAGTTACCAGCCAAAATGATAGGAAATTCCCCCCTGCGAGTGATACTTGCTACAAGTAGCGAAGTGCGACGTAGAAGCTCGAAGAGGCGACTGATATCACCGTCAAAGTCATCAACAGGTTCGATCTCGTGAGCGTTGACAGTCACGCCCAGGGTGCGAATTGCGTCGACGAAGCCGGCATTGATGAGCGCTTTTGGCCCAGCACCAACGGCAACATCTTCGATACCAAGATGATAGGGAGAACAGAGAACAGTTATGGATTTTGCGGGAGACATGTTGAGAATGATCAAGTATGTGTACCGTTTTGGGGGGTGCGAGGCGTGGAGTAAGGCTTCTTGGGAGCTAATAATGGAATCTTATCCAATGGCCTAATCAAAGCACACGGAGAGATACGAATAGTTTGAAAGTCAATGGAGAAGTATAGTGCTCCGTTTATATATGTGATCATGGCAACTCCTTGACCCTTGCCAAAGCCGGAGCAGCATGGATATCAGGCAGGTATCTCCAATGCTTCAACCAATCACTGGCAAACACTAACAGAACGATAAGGTAGTCCTTGCTTTGGCCCTTCAAGAATCATGTCGTTCTTACCTTGAGCCTGACGGAATCGGGGTCGAGATTGAGTCAGAGAGTAGTCACTTGTAGCTCTAGCTCTGACTCGTCCACTTAAGGGCGCGCATTTTGACAACACCATTGATCAATGACTGCAACTCCGTAGAACGACCCATAGCCTACCTAGCCCTGGAGATCTCAGTCAATAGTTTAGTACCTTCATTCACCCAATCAAATGACTTTACAAGACTCATTGAATTCAAATCTAGTAGCTACCTTCTTCAATCCAGAAACGCCCCTAACCCAAAAGTCAATTCAACATATTCCCGAGTCCTCTGCTACACGGGTCTATCCCGTCCAACCTATTGAACCAAAAGCGCCAGCTAAAAGGAAACCACTCATGCGTACTCCAGTGTGTCGCCTCCTCGGCGCTCTCCAAACAGATATGCTGCCTCGAGACAAAATCGTCCATGTCCTCTTTCCATGCGTCGTTCGCTGCCGTAGCAGATCAAAACTGCGTCGACGATACCGCTCAAGATGCCTTCCATCGCGCCCATAACAGAGTATCCAATGAAACTGGCCATCATACCAACGACATAGGCATAAGCAGAGCCTCGGACACCCACGCCATCTGGCAGCTGAATTCGAAGCTGCTTAGCGGTAATTACCCAGCCTGCAAAACCAAGACCAGTGGCCATGATAAGGCGTGTTGCCACAAGCAACAGTTTGGCAAGTCGATAGGGCAAAAGTCCATTAGGTTGTCCGCGGTTTCGCAAAGATCGAGGCGTCAATGTAGTTGTAGGAACCGTCGGGGATACAAGCTCCATCTGATCCAGGCCCCTGGCCGAAGTAGCAAGATTCTGAGAATGTATAGCAGAATAAGTAATGGTCAGAGGATTCATTAGCGCAATGACCGGCGTTGGGATCCAAAATGAAGCAATGTTTGTGACGGTAGCTCCCAGTTTCCTGGGTAGGAAAATCAGAGGTGCTCGAATCAGCAGAGACAAAAGTGTTGATTCGCAGAGACTGCCAAAAATGGTCGTGAGGGCATGGTTGAGAGCAGCCGAAACAATCTCGCGCGAAGGCGTAGCAGGCCCGGCATTACGATGAAAGTACCACTGGGATACTGTTGCGGCTGTGGTAGCTCGATGAACAGCATTGATCACCGAGACCGTCCACATGTAAAGGAAGATGAATGCAGCCCCTAGCCACCAGCTTGAAAGCTGAATTACGAAGCGGAGCATGGACTTGCTGAAATGACCGCCCATGAAGACCCTGGTAAACATAGCGAGCCATGCCCAGGTCCACACGACAATCAAGGCCAAACATCCAAATCCAACGAACAGCAGCGCTGAGTTCTGGGCTAGAATACGACTGGAAAACTGAAGAATCTCAATCGCCTGTTGGATGGCGCGTCGTCCTCGTACTACAAGCCAGATCCATAATATGCAAGAGATTGCAGGGATTATAGAAGCCCATCTCATAACCGAATCCTGGAAACTGCTTCCGTGCCATCGGCCTTTGAAGGACGACACAAAGGAGTATATCGAAAAGGAAAACAGGATGACTGGCACCGCAATCAAGATCACGCTGACCAGAGGCCGCACAAACGATCGTAGGGCTGCCAGCCAAATGAACGATACAAACACGGCCACTACTGTATCCACCGCAAGCATATGGAATGACTTTTGTAGTGTAGTGTAGATGGTGTCGCCGACCGGGCTTTGCCGTGGTGATGTGTGAAGCCATACCAAGAAGAATGTCGAGAGCATGCCAGCAAGACTGATTAAGAAGATCCAAGCGAAGAAAGGATCATGTCGAAAGATTTCACCCTCGATGTATTGAAATGTCGTTTGTACAGGCTCTCCCTCCTGGGGGGCACCTCGCTGTATACTGGCATCGGTCTCTGTCGTAGACTCTCGCCTCGTCATGAATGGTGTTCGTTCCGTATCTGTGCCCTTAAATTGCTGGAAAGCCGGAGGGCTGCTTTCTCGTGGAGTTTGTCCTCCCAAAAGCGAAGCCGGAGGGTCCTCATCTGGATCATCTTGCGACTCGAGTCCAACGTCAACCATTTTGCCTTTAGCATCGGTTCCCTGACTACTGTCTCGGTCTAGACTTGAACGAGCATCGTCTTCGGCTTCTTCTCCTATGGTATCTCTCGCAAGTCCTGGGCGGTGAGTGCTTCTCGTTCCATTCCAGCTGCTTCGAATACCGCGGCGCATGCTCATATCCCGATATGGATCCTCCTGGTTTAAGCTGTCCTCCAAAGAACCCCGGCTATGGGTGTCAGATTCAACACTATCGGCGAGTTTGCTTGCAGCTGCTACCCGTCTTGACCTCTGGAGAGCAAACATATCAGCAGCCTCGCGATCCCTTTCTTCCTCGTCGTCCTCTTCCCGGAATTCGTCCAAAGTGCTGTGGAATAGTGGTGCATCCTGGGCAGCTGATATGCGCGATGGGAAAGCTAATTGACCAAACCGAGACCCGGCGCCGGTTTGTTGATATGGGTTTCCTCCATAGCCTCGACCCAAGAAAGATCTACTTGGTCCATTTCCTCGTCCTGTTTCGCGCTGATTCCGTGTGGAGCGGGATGGCCACTCTGATTGTCGTGGAGGATTGTCGTTGTTATCGGCTTGTCCGAAGTTCGATAGCCTGGATTGTGACTGGGCTAAGAACCTCGATGCATCTAGAGAACCAAATCAGCTTGCTTGCAAGACGGCGTGAAGAATAATAGGACATACACTCCGAAAACATCGCGCGCTCTCGACTCCTTCCGCCTCACGTGCGGGCAAATATTTAGGAACCAGTCCTTGTTGATGTAGATATCTGACGTGACGTAAATACGGTGATAGGCAACCACAGGTATCGCGGTGTAAGCGCAGAAGACGGTTTTTGTTTGGATTCCGGGATCGCAATACTGGAGGCTGGTAGATGGAAAGCGGAGGTGGTGAGGAGATAAAACTGTCGTCCAGGCAAAGGCAAAAAATCACGGCTGAGATGCAGATGAATGAATGGCTGGTTGCTAAAGGTTAAGGCAGACAGTGGTGGAAGTACCCGGCCCAGGTCATGAGGCGAGGCGAGAGATGGCAGATGGACGGTCCGGGGCTTATCAGCGAATGAGTCGCTGACCGATTGCGTCCATCCCCAGTGCAGTCAGTGCCAAAGGTGCCTAGGCAGATCCGCTGGGAGGACCCCTGTTAGTGGACCTAGGTACCCTTCGGGGGGCAATAAAACACCAAACCTTGACATCAGGTGTCAAAATAAACTCAACAAAGAGTCACCTAACCTTAGGCCAGATTTACCTAAATGTTTTTATCACTTAGGGTCAAGGTCGTAAGTTTTCTTTCCTCCCCTAGGTACCTTAACGGACAGAGCCACCTGGGCAGGCGGTCAATGACCTGAAGACGCGAGCACCTCAGGCGCCACAGGCAGCCGTGGGGTTGAGGCACACGACATGTCTAACAAGTACCAGCTAGAGTCAAAGAGCGGCTTGAGATACCTTCACGTGAGGTATTGCACCTCAAAAGATGCACGCAATCACTCTCGTTTATTTAGCATTCAACTCCACTTTGTTGACGATTCTTTGACTGCATGTTGTTGCCACCAAATAGTTGCGATGGTGATCGTCTTTGTTGATGAGTAACTCGTATCTCATTCACATCATCAAGATTGTTTTGAAACTCTCTTGACTCGTCGCTACTTGCCAAGTTGAATCAAGCTTCGCTTGGTCTTGTGACACTCTGAAGATCTCTGAGTCTCACTCAGTCCTCACGCGGAGGCAGTTTGCTTGCGATATCAAACACAGCGACAGATGACTTTTCCTGTATCAAAGAAACAGATCAAACGACTCTATTCTCAAAGATAGTATAGATACATTCACTTATATATACTTATCAAAGACAAAAACACATCAACTGACCTCAAAGACCAAAGGACTAACAAGACGTTATCGATCCATTCCCCTTGCGTCACCGATAACCACCAAGAAACCTCTAATCCCTATTCGGAGAGGGCCCTTCAGGCACGAGGTGCAGCACCAAAGCACCCTCGAGGTTCCACTGATACTGGATCTGATCTGATCTGCTTGGTTGTCGAGTTGCTTCACTGAGTTAGCTTGCCTGCTTGTGTCGTACAATGCTGTAACTCGTGACAGCTCAGCATCTCAAACCATAGCCACAGGCTCCAACATCTGACTTGTACTACATACTCTCCAGTTCCCTCCCTATAGCGTGTCATCTTTCCTCATATTTCTATTAATTACGATCTGTAAAAACACGAGATTCGTCTCATTTACACTATTTTGTTCTCTTATCGTCATTTCGTGTCTATCGCCATCTCCAAGTCTGAATTTAGCCCGCCCCGAGCCACCTTTAGCTTCTAGCTCCCTCATATAAACCACCCAGCTTCCTCCAACCCTAAATTTCTACCACTTACAACCCATCCCTTCTCATTACCAAGTCACGTTCACGAAACACCAGCACACCGAATCAGATACTTCTCTTATCTTACTTTGTACCTCGGGTTTGACGTCGCACCACCGCAAAGGACAGCTTGCACGTGCTTAACTCCATCCTCTTTAGCTCGAGGAAACCAAGCCCATCGATCAGCTCTTCTCCAACGAATCTCTCCTCTTCAATTCTCATCAGCCTTCCCAGTCTCTTCCCATGTCGACCACACCGTGGGATTACATCGCCAAACTCGTCTGCATCGGCGACTCAGGATGCGGCAAGTCTAGTCTTACCATCCGTCTCTGCGAAGGACGCTTTTCGCCTCATCACGACGTCACCATTGGCGTTGAATTCGGCTCCCGTATCGTCCCCGTCGGCCCTCCTCACTCAAAAATCGGCGCCGCCAACTCTTCAGACCCTGATAATAAGGACCAAGAAGCCGACGGTCTTCCTGAACCTCCTCGGGATGACTCCAACACACCCCAGAAGCATATGAAGCTTAGTCTTTGGGACACAGCTGGTCAGGAGACATACAAGTCTGTCACTCGATCTTACTTCCGAGGCGCAAGCGGTGCCCTGTTGGTCTTCGACCTGTCTCGAAAGCAAACCTTTCAGCATGTTACAGACTGGCTCAACGATCTACGACAGATCGCCGAGCCCGATATTGTGGTTATCCTGGTTGGTAACAAGGCAGACCTGACACAACAGGAGGACAATAAGCGTGAGGTCACACGTGAGGAGGCAGAGGAGTGGGCCAAGCGTAATGGCGTCATGGAATACGTCGAGACAAGCGCAAAAAGTGGCGAGAATGTGGAAAAGGCTTTCATGCGGGTAGCAGAGAGGATATACAACAATATCCAGGCGGGCAAGTACGACCTTAATGACAGAAGATCCGGTGTCAAGGGTGCAGGGGCTGGTGGAAATCGCCAAGTCAAGCTATCTGGAGATGCCAACAAGTCAGCGGGAGGTGGCTGCTGTTAGAGAATAACCCAAGACAATGCGAAGAGGAGGACACAAATGATCTACAGACACACGACGCATCATGATACCCAGTCAGCCAGCAAACGTCGTCATCATCGAATAAGTGTATGGAAAGCTCAATATGAATTGTACACAATAATGCATAATACATTGCTGGCCTTTACCGAGGCCACCTTTATTAAGGGCAACAGAAATGACAATATCATAGCATTACCGAAACAAGATCCATCCGTAACTGCCTTATTCCGTTGATCCTGTTTCGTCTTTTCTTCCTTCATTCCTTGCTTTGATGTCCCAACAAATCCCGCGACCCGTCTTTTACATGAATTCCCCAATTCTATATCCTTGCAGCACGTTTTCGAAATCGAACAATACAAAACACGTCTGCATGGCGGTGCATGAGACAGCTCGTCTGGATCACTGTGTGATCAAGAAAAAAGAGATTGCTCAAAACATTGATGAACCCCCTTAGTCGGTGACTCGCCAGTTGTCGAACCACTTCATGTACTTGTACTGCTTGTGGTTGCCAGTCATGCCCCAGCAAATGGGGATGAAGTAAATGTAAAGGCCGATAATGACGGTGTAGAGAATGCCATACACGATGGTCTGGATGGTCTTGTTGCGGTTGCGAGTGAACCAGTCAATAAGGAAACCAAAGTTGAGAATGGCAAAGTAGAGAGCCGGGTAGTAGTGATGCACGTAAGTAACACGAGCCATGATAACAAAAGGAAGATAGTGAAGGAACCAGCCGGCAAGGGGGTACAATGCCGCGTAGTGAATGTGGTCAATCTCGTTCTCGCTGAGATCGTTGACACCTCGTTGCCATCGAAGAATGTACCAGACAATGACAAGGCCAGCGATTCCAAGGGAAGCAGTAGAACCCCAGTAGACGAGAGGGTTACCGAGGAGGAAGTACTTGACGATATCATCACCCCAACCGCACATACGGAGACCGACGTGAAGGAAAGGCCACTGCCACCACTTGGAAGCAAGGTCATCCTGCTTATCAGGGTCAGGCACCAGAGCGTTGTTAGAGGTCATCATAGCGACGTTCAGATGAACAAAGTCGTGGAAGAATGGGGACTTGTAAACACCAGCCTCGGCGGGAGGGACTACATAAAGTTAGCATGAGCAAGTCTACATCATTTTCTTAATTACTTACGCTTGTCGTTCCAGTGAGCCTCAACGTTCCAGTGGGTGTAGGTGTCACGAGGGTTGTTCTCCTTGGTGCAAGTAACCTCAATCTGCTTGAAACCCCATTGAGGAAGGTTGACGTTGCCAGCTCGGAGGTAGCAGCCAAGGACCTCGTGCTTGAGACGGAAAGCAGTGGTGAGAGTCCTGATCTTGCTGCGGTCACGAGAAGCAGAATCGCGAACAACCTCAACCTTCCAGTGGTCCTTGTCGTCACCAACAGTCAGGTTACCGTAGCTGGAAACTTCCTTGTGGCCTCGGGTGACAGGCGCAGCGATGTCATGAGAGTGCAGGTTGCGGCCAGTCTGAGCGTGAATAAGTCGGATGACCGAGTTGTCACCAATGAATCGGAGATCACCCTCAGGGTTGTAGTCCTCCTCTCGGCGGTTGGGGTAGAAGAACCAGTCGTTGTTGGTGTCCTTGTGGTGGTAGCAAGTAACCTGCTGCTGCTTGGAACCCTCGGGGTATGTCTGAACGTGAGAGTGAAGAAGACCACCGCCGTAACCCATGTTCTTGATGGTAGCGCGAGAACCAATTGCGATCTCGAGAGGGCTGTCCTTTCCAACCTGGGTACCCTTGAGGTTAGCCTGGAAGAGCGAGCTCATCTGAGCATCACCAGGGCCGGAGCGGTCGAGGATGGCGAAGTGCAGGGCGAAAGAGAGGAGGTAGATCAGGAAAGGGATGACGATGAGGCCAACAACACGGGTGATGACGTGGGCAGCAAGAGTGGTCTATGGGTGGTTAGTAAAGCACAGATATCAGTCATAATACTACTTACAACAGGCATCTTGGTATCGCCGAACTTTCGCCAGAGATCCTCAATGGTGTAAAGACCAACGAGAGCAGTAACGAAAAGACCAACAAGCTTGACACTGCAGACACAGCCAATGCTGAGACCAGTCAAGAAGAGCCAGAAGAACCACTCGGGCTCGAAGCTGTTGTGTCGCTGGTTGTGGAACTTGGACCAGCAGAAGACAGTGGCCACGGTGCCGCATAGCAGCATAGAGTCGAGCAGGATAAAACGGCTGATGGTGGTGTAGGAGTTCTCGCAAAGAACCATCAGAGTAACGAGCCACACAGCAGGACGTCGAAGCTTGAGCTCACGGGCAGTGTAGTAAGCAAGAGGAATACAGAAGATACCGAAAGCCGCATTGAAGATACGCATGATGGTGTAGTTGACTTCCTCGGGGTACTTTTCGCCAGACTTGAACTCGAATGTTCCGTTGTAGCCAGCCAGGACTCCAGAGAGACCGACGAGCATCTTGCCGAGAGGAGGGTGGACATCGAAGTAGTATTCATGCTTGATATAGTAGGAACCGAACTTGCCGAAGCTATTGGAGCGTTAGAAAGGTTCGCGGGACGGTGAAAGTCAATTCGACATACTGAGCTTCGTCCCAAGTAACGATATTGCTGATACCAATCTTGTAGAGTCGAGTGAAGATAGCCAGGAGAGTGAAGATCAGCGGGGCAATGACAACCTCCCACTGGTCGAGTGTCTGAAGCAATGAGGGCTCCTGAGATGTGGTCAGTATTGTTCAATGGCATTGCTTTGATACACAGGTGCAGTACCTTCTTGACAAGCTTCTTGTTGTCCTCGGGCTGAGGAGTCGGAACTTGCAGGTTAGCTTGTCCGGCGGCAGGACGCTGTCTCAGACCATCGCCCAGGTCAGCGCCTGAGGCGACGGCAGCCTTGTCGGCAGCCATGATTATTCAATCGTATAGGTACCGGTTCGAAGGAGAAGTCGCGATGTTTGTAAAATGGATGATTTGATGGGAGCCAAAGGGGGTTGATGTTGGCGAAGTAAGCTCGACAGGAGGGAGACGGGAAAAAAAGATTGGACGAGCTGTCGAGACTCAAGGGAACCTGGAAGGGAGGAACACCAGCTTCAATGAAGGAGCCGTTATCTAAAATCCTGTGATCATAGAAGAGAAACACAGGTCGGAAGGGGGAAAAAAAAAGAAGAAGAAGAATCAGGAGAGGAAAAAAGAGCTGGAGATGCCCGAGTCCAAAGAAACGAAACTGAACCGGTTCGGCTTGTGGTGGTTCTAAGGAAGAATATTACACGACAGTGAATCTCTTCCAATCTGTCCCCTGAAATGCCACATATGCTCTACGGGCGAGTCGTCACCCAGGCACGCTAACAGCTGCTCCCGTACGGCTCCCCTTGGCGTGAGCTCCCGACCAGTCGATAGACTCGATACTACCCCCACCTCAGCCTAGTCCAGCCCTTCCAGCTCCCATGTCCGTTTTCGATAGCGCGTTGCACTGAATGTTTTAGGGGCAATCAGCTGCAGGGATCCAGGGATGAAATTCAAAAAAGTGGCGCCGTTCTCTGTCAGTTTCAGCGGCTCAGCGGTATGTACTCGTCAGTGAGCAGGAATGACAAGAAACACTCCAGGTCGCGTGGCCCAATGGCAAGGCGTCTGACTACGAATCAGAAGATTCTGGGTTCGATCCCCAGCGTGATCAGTTTCTTTTTGCTGTTTCTCGACCTGAACTTGTTTCTGAAGCTTCTTTGGTTGAGACGTTTGTTTCGAATTGACCTTGAAATCGATAAAGCAAAACGGCGCAGTAATTGTCAAGTACAGTGATGAACCACCAACATCTAAAGGCGGCTCTTATGTCAATGCCAGTAGTAAGAACTACTACACTGGCATTTCTACCATTTTGCTCGATCAAATTATTGTCGACGATCACATGCTTCTTCAGGTCCTTGATACTGAATGCAACCTCTTCAGATAATGAGACATTGATTATCAGACACCTGTCTCCTACTAATGACGTCCATCTCTGCAACCTCCCTACGCAAGCGAAGAGACAGAGAGACATGCAGAGCCGAAGGCGTTCAAGGACCCACGGTTCGTCACGACTGAACCCCGAATTACTGAACAGAACCACCCTCTCTCTGTTTGTCTTTTATACTGAATCATGAAACACGAATAAGCTCAGCGTGAGTGGCCTTTGAACACTATTTCAGCAATTGAGTTTCACGGCTATAAACTAATGGATCTCAGTATCGTACGGCATCGAGGGATACAGCTTAAAGGGTCCAGAAAGGGTCTCCCTGGCCCGACGGCTTCAGCGGAACAAACCCCGATCTCATCTGTGCCTCACTGATACAGATGGCCTAAAACCAAGAGATTGACCGCCGAATTCAATTTGTTCCCCCGTATTTTACCGTCTTTGGCACCATGAATCCTATTCCTATGCCTCTGTCGTTCAATTTCCCCACTACATTCCCTATATATCCGAATCCTCGTCTGATCGAGGTTACGACAACATGCGGTTTGATCCGTTCCTGTAATCGGAGCGTACCTTGCCCTGTACTTATGAAACTGACAGAAATGTTAGTTGGGGTTTCAACGGCTGCAAGCGAAACCGTCGATTTTGAATTGGCAAAACGACGAGATTGAATTTGTTGCTAACAGTCAATCTCTGATACCCAATGACAATTGTATAAACGGAATAGACTCAGAGGCCTTCTGTGAACCACAATCCACAGTCACATGCTAAAAAACTGCCCCTATATTCCCCTTCTGATCGCTCCAAACGCTGCACTTACTGCATATTCTCCGCTTACCGTCCGCTATTCGGAAAACTCCACTGAACGTCACTGGGGAACAAAATCGCCTTATGTCATCCAACTCCAGTCCAAAGTCAGAAGAACAGAGCTAGAGACGCCGTAGTCTCTGGCTTCTCCAGTCTCTCGTCATTCCGTTGTCTAGAGGCGCCTGGTCCTGTGCCGTTACCGTTTCTCCTCACTGCTACAGTACTATTACTATATTGTAGTTCTCTTCTACCTTGCCAGATCCCCTCTTTCAGCGTCGTTCTCTACCATCCTTCTCTCTCCTCCGCTGTATCAGTATCGGCGCAAGTACAGTACAGTACAATACAGTACAGGTCCCAACAAGCAGCTCCTCTATCTTATTAGTGCGCCCGTACGGTATCTTGGATCGCCGCTTAGGCCTTTCCCTCTTGCCAACTTACTTTAAGCCTCCACTCCAACCTACCTACCTACCAACTTGATGTCTTCCCTCGTCTCAGAGTTTCTCATCAACCCCGTCTTGCGTCAGGCTCGTCGATTTTCCGAAATCTCACGATCTACCTTCACTGGCGATGGAGGCGACTCGACCGAACACGCTGACGCAGTGAGCGATTCCGGCCATCCTGATAGTCCTGTCTCTGCGCCTGTACCTGTATCTGTACCCGTACCTCTGCCAGTACCTGAGCCGGCACCGGTGCCGATCAGCGAGTCTCCCCTCACCAGGCCCCTCAGCGTCTCGACCCAAGAAACAAGAGTTGAAGAACCCGAACCAGTTCCAATCATGTCCCAAGAAACTCCCCCCCGCGATCATATCGGGATTGCTCTGAGCCCGCTCAGCTCTCGTCGGATTCCCGAAGATGATGGTATGCGCGAGTTGCGATCCCGGATCCATTCGATCAACGCCCAAGACATACCCCAAAATGATAAAGCGCGGTTAATCCACGATATTCTGTTGGAAGGATATAAGTCATCCAAGACAGTACCGCTTGTAAAGAAAATCCTCGAGAGTGGTGAAGGCTTGGATGTACCTCTATCGCAGTCACCGTCGTCGCCACTATCGAGGCCGTTGAAGTTCTGGCAGAATCAACCGGATGAGGAAATATTTATCTTGAGCGAGGAAGACAAAGCACCGACGTATGTACCTGTGAAGCCGCCGAAACGACATGGAAGTGAGACTCCAGTGGAACCTTTAGAGGTAGTACCAGAAACGGAACAACCTCTTGGATGCCAACACTACGAACGAAACGTCAAGCTCCAGTGCTTCACATGTAAGAAATGGTATACCTGTCGTTTCTGTCACGATGCGAACGAAGATCACAACCTCATCCGTACAGAGACCAGGAACATGCTCTGCATGCTTTGTGCAACACCACAGAAGGCTTCGGATATGTGCATCAACTGCGGCGAGTTGTCAGCATACTATTATTGCGATATTTGTCACTTATGGGAGAACCGCCAAAGTAAACCCATTTACCACTGTAACGACTGTGGTATTTGTCGTCGAGGCATGGGCCTCGGCAGGGACTTTTTTCACTGCAAGGTGAGAACAGTCATGCCTCAATGATGGTTATTACTGACTAGCCGTAGACCTGTCGAGCGTGTATCTCAACCTCAATTGAGGGCTCTCACAAATGTATCGAGAGGTCAACAGATTGCGACTGCCCCATCTGTGGCGAGTACCTCTTCACTTCACCACGGCCTGTGGTCTTCATGCCTTGCGGTCATAGTATTCATAAGAAGTGCTACGAACAGCATATGAAAGTGTCATACAAATGCCCGATCTGCAACAAGAGTCTTACGAACATGGAGAGTCAGTTCCGAAATCTGGATGTTGCCATCCAGACTCAGCCCATGCCACCGGAGTTCCGCGACACCACTGCCGTTATTCTGTGCAACGATTGCTCCGGAAAGAGTACTGTTCGATATCACTGGTTGGGTCTGAAATGCTCCATATGCCGGTCATATAATACGGTAGAACTGAATATTGTTGGAGGTGACCGTGCGGTATCTCAGCCGCCTGCTGAAATGCAACCGATTGTAGAAACTGGACGGGATGCTTCTGGGTCTGTGAGTGGAAACCGAGCACCTATAACAGTGGGAAACAGGCGCAGGCATTCGTCTCACGGTGTTGAGGCTCAATACCGCGCTCCAGATAGAGTTGCACGATCAGTGTCCCCTGGCAATATGGGTTTCGACTCGATCATGGCACACCTGCCACCAGACGAAGAGTCCGAGGACGATATCCTTGGAATTTGGAGAATCCGCAACCGTGGCAACAATGCATCAGAGAATGACGAAGACTCTGAACTGGATGATCTCAGCGACACACTTTCGGACGCTGAAGAGGAGGACGACGATGATGAAGAAGACGAAAACGAAATTGTTCTTATTGGACATCGATGAGCAATCACAAAACAGCATGATATAAAATTCAAAAGGGTTGGCTAGGTTCTTTTACTGCAAGGCGTTTGGGGGGGACTGCATTAACCTGGTGGTGGAATACCAGTTGGAGGCTACGGACTAACCACTATATGTGTACGAAGGGATGTGACTAGGTTGGTGGTCTGCATCTTGGGCGCTTATTATTCTGCGTTGATCTTGGGTTTCTGGATAAGATTCAACGGACACAAAGTAAGGTAGCATGATTGTTTCAGTATGTACCTAGGGCATTGAGTACAACAAAATCTCTATTCTGGCAGTCTTAATTGCGCCGGTTAAGTGAAAGCATTTCCCTAAAAACGCCTACCGATACGATATTTCCGTAATTCCAAATTCAATTCGTATAGAGTTCATCCCGCTCACTTTAACGTCGTCTTGCCGCGGCAGCGGGTTGCTGTGCCTCTTGTCTGAGTTCCTTGATAACTTGCTGCACGGAAAATACATATTAGAAACTCTTCCAACTCGTAAACAAGGAAAGCTAGATTACGCACCGCTAAAGCCTCTGGGTTCACTCCGCGCTCAATCATAGAGATGCAGATTGATAGAGTTCGGCGATCAAGGTGACAATTCTGTAGTCTCAAGTCAGCGATCAGGTCTTCGCGCGTGTTGTTTTATGGATGAGCTATCGTACTAGGATAGTAGAGATCTCGTGCAGAATATCCACGGCTTGTTGCGCAGCGGCGTGCTTATCTGGTTCAGGCATGATGGCGGCTGATGGGGGTTTGATATGGTGTATGAAGAGAGGGGAGTGGATGTGGAGGTTAACTGAATTGATCATGGCGGGGAGACGCGGGTCGCGGTTTGGTTTGGGCTGATATACATCATGACACCCAATAAACAGCAAAATTGTCACGAGAAATGGCATGGCTACCAATGTTTTAGAAGGATATTTCAGCATGATGATTTAGTTCAAGTTTCGATCTTCAACACGATCTTGTTGTTAATATAATTAGCATCTAGGATGCCACTTGAACAAGCAGTCCCAAGATGTCTCAGAGATAAACTCAAGGTTATTTCAAACAAAAACAATCATCCAAGGTATAATTATCATTCTTAAACAGCATTATCGCACATAAACGATCATCGCAGCATAATCCATCAATCAACTCTTTAGGTCTTCATAGCCTCCACAAACAACTCCCTCATGCCCTTTAGCAGAACAACCAATTCCCTCGTCTCATTCAGCTTATCCAGCACCCTCTCAACCTTTTCCCGCTCAATCTTGGGTCTGCAGTGCTTCACATCGTAGTCGCGCGAGCTTGTAACAAGTTCAAACCAAGCCTCGCGCTCCCAGTCCTTCTCGTCAATATGCGTGTACACAAACTTGAGACGATCGTCGTGGCCAGCGCCCTCGATCTTGAGGCAGAGGTTGGTGATCCAGAAGTCCAACTCGGGGACGTTGAAGCGGGACTGTGCTTGTTGCTGTTGAGCGTATTCGCGCTGTGCGGCAAGTCGGGCTTCGATCTCGGCTTGTGTTTGTGCGATTTCAGCCTTGAGACTGTTGCGGGTTGCGAGGTGGTTATCGCGCTGGGCAGCGAGGGAGTTGATAGCGCTCTCCATCTCGCGCGTTTCCGCCTCTTCCTTTTCGATTGTTTGTTGGTGCGTCGAGGTTTTGACTTGAATGATTTCGATGTCTCGCTTCTTCATGCGTTGATCCTCTGATGTAGTGGTTAGTGTGTATCATATGCGCCGGCAATGTTATGGTATGTACCTTGAAGTTCAGCGACGTTCATGCGAAATTGATTGCGCTCTTCGAGGACGCGCTTACGGCCCTCTTCAATGAATGCATCAAATCGGGCTGTGAACTTTGCCATGCGATCGCGCAGGTCATCGAAGCCAAAGTTGATGTTGGGCAGCTGGTTTGCGACAGAGGGGCCGACGGGGGCCATGCTCTGTCGCATGCTGGCAGATAGGGAGGACTGAAAGTCGGTAGTCATTGCGTATGCCTCAGGATCGTGGAGTGGTTTTGACTGGTGTTGTTTTCGGCTTCAAATTCTTATTCCGTAGGGTGAATGGGGTTGATCATGGAGACATAAATTGGGCATTGTTCTCATGCATGGATGGATGTATTGGAGTATTTACACCGCGAAATTGCGTTGCTCGGTCGACTAAATAAATGTGGCGCACCTCGCTTGCACCGCCACGTGGGGCCGTCGAAAGCTTCACTTCTCATCGCATGCGCTGAGCATCTCGTTACTTTCAACGTCTACTTATACTCACCGATACTTCTCTTTTATAGATACATTTCAGCTTTCGCGACCAAATTCCTCATCGCATGACCTCATATGACATAGGATGCCTTTTTAGTGCTTCAAATACCATTGACTCCCGCTCGAGACTCTCTTGCGCCTGTACTAGCCCATCTCGCGATGAAGAAAGGAAAATCGGCCAAAATTTCAGCACATTGGAAATCAAGACTTGGGCCAAATGGCTGAGACCAGGCGACTTACGGACCTGATCCACGGTCACGTAGGAAGTCTTACTTATATACCACCTGAGAATGCGACTGCGCAACCTGGGACTTTTCATACCAGTCGCGTAACTGCTGAAGGTGAGTTTCTATATAATCGCTATGCGCGCATCGCAATACTTACAAAGATGTCTAGCGCCTCACTTCAAGGTTGTTGGGTCTTCAGCAGAGTTATACCCGCCTTCAAAAACTCCTGCTCCGGAGATCTCGTCCAACCTATGGCAGGAAAGAAGAGTTCAAAAGCGATGGCTTCTTCAGGCTCACCCCGAAGCCTTCATGGGTAACTCAGCGCTATTTGATCTTCTACAGGAGAACATGAATCGCTACTCAAAAGTCGAGGGCGAGGTTAGCGATCTGCCATTACTTGCTATCGGCCAAATGACCAATGTGTCGGATCATTCAAGAATCACTGGGTCACCCATGCTTGCGGCTGCTACGGGAGAGTCAGGAGAGCTGCTTCGACTGGCTCGGATCGATCAATCGAAATGGAAATGGGGAAACGACAAGCGCACGACTCTCCAACCTTCAGTGATAGACCCTGATGATCCCGAGGAAGAGGCCATTTGGGCCAGCGATGGTCTGCCAATCTCTCAAGTCAAATTCGCAACCAGTCTCACACGATATGATGCTACCCGCTGGCTCATCGTTCAAAAGCAAACTTCGACCACGATTCTCCATCCAGAGTATCACAAGGTTCCGGTAGCTCAGTCGTCCGCATCGGGTCCCATCATTCATCAACCACGGCTGTCGCGAATCGATCCTAACCCAATCTTGACCATCTCACATAAGTCTACTGGTGGTAACGCGCAGGTAGATGTCGCTTTCAATCCAAGTTCCAAGGGCCTGCCACCACAGATCGCCATCATCGATGAATGCGGATATTGGTCAATATGGGACATCTTAGGGGGAAACAAGCTGAAAACACGACTTTTGCCTTACTCATGTGGGCATATCTCGGATGGGTTGTTGAATGAATTACCCTCTACGACAGAGCATCCTGCCGAAAAGCACGGGGTTCTATTTGTCGGCACAGCCAAAGTGGACAGTTTCTGGGAAGATGGTTCACAAAGTGCTGATGACTCTAGAGAATCTGTACGACGATCGAGTCATCTACTGATCTGGAACAGGGAGAAGTACGAAGTCATTGACCTCGCGTCGCACATAGCTCTGCCCCGACTCTCGTTGTTGGCTCGTCCGAAGTCCAAACCTGATGCAATTCTTGACATCAGAGTCAGCCCAGCCAACCAGAATCACATATTCGTCTTAACCATGCGCACTATTTACTGGGTTGACTTATCTGCGCAAAGCACGCTGGAGGAGGAGCAGGGACCAAAGCCGACTATTCTGATATCCTGCCCTCGTTTATTGGAAAGGGAAGGATTGCGAATGACAACATGCCTTACTTCAGAAGATGGGCAAGAAATTGCCATGGTGTTTGTCTTTTCTCCGACTCACAGACGACTTCAAACCTACTGGTTTGGGCAGTCAAAGACGAGTGGTCTTCCTTATTGGCATCGTGACACGCTTACCCTTCCTCAAAATGGCGAATCGGCCAGTGGTGATATTCAATCACTTGAAATCCACCCGGTCAAGCTCACGCGGGACGGGGACGCTTCGTCAGGCCTTGGAGCCGATTATCACCATGCAGGAGTTCAATTCTACCAAGGCAGCATCCTAAGCAAGAATTTGGGTGTACAATACTGCATCTGTGTCTCAGTCAAAGATCGCAATATGCAGATTACGTTACCTAGTGGGCGAGTTGGTCGTAACAAGTCCGACGAAGCGCAGCGCTGGAAGAAGAAACGTAAACATTTCATTAGACATATGGGCAACACGTTTGTGCTTCCCGAAGGCATGGCTGATGACAACATCAAGCATGTGGTGAAACCTAACAATCGATCCAAGGACCTCGACAAGCTGAAGAGCAAAGCATCTGCAGTTTTTGGTCCCATAAGCTTGAACCTGGATGGCTTGTGCCGTTCTCTGCGACAGAACTTGCTGGCTATTTCAGACAGTTCTCATGATATACCCCCCGCTCTACTCTCAGCTGTTCAGGAGAATATCACTGAGGGGGTAGCTGAAGGGAGACTGCCCCTAAAGACTTGGAAAGAAATCGGCGACGAGCTTAGTCCAATGGATTTACGAAATGGGTTTCACGAAACACAACCCGATATGCTTGATTTGTTTGCGGGCAATGATGGACAAACGGTCGTGACGCAACTCGGAAGACAGACCTCGCAAGAGTGGATTCGGGAACTCGTCAGCCTGTCGCATCTTAACCAAACATACGTTGATCTTTGGCTTGATCCGCTGGAGGGAAGAATACCCCAGCAAGAGGAGGAAATAATAAGGGGATGGATCGCAGACTTGGCTAAGGATATGTTTCTGGCAACAGCTGGAGTTATGGTACAAGATGTGCCTCTTCTAGGACCAGCAAGTCAGGAAGAGGGTGGACGTACTCAGCCGACTCAGTCGAGTGTATTTCGAATCAAGTCGTCGCAGTCATCAGAAGGTGGAATTCCTTCATCACCTCTCAGTGCGACACCAAATAGCACTGATGATGCAGCGATCAGGCGACTCCAGCTCCTCGCGCCATCATTGAGATTGGACAAGATGGAAAACGCCAAACCGTCTAAAGTGCTATCATATTGGCCCACTGAGCGTGGTGTCAGCACAGATGACTATATATCTAGTGTTGCCATTGCGACCGACAGGAAGTTTGACGACGCAAGATCACGACTGCAAAGGATCGAAAACAAGCGAAAGGCCCAGAACGACAAGTACAAACTTCCACCGTTTATGAGAGAGGGAAGGGATCCCAAGGCCATAAGGACTTCTGTGCGAACTACAGCGGGCAACCCCATGTCTTCGCCAATGCGTCCTCGGAGAGAAGAGCCCATGGCGCTACCACCAATATCTGTTGCTCCCACACCTCAGACCATGTCGAGCCAGCAAGGTATACCTTCATCGTCACAGAGTCAAGGACTCTTTGGGCCATCGTTTGCTATGAGCCAGCCTGTATCGGGCATCTTTGGAGATAGGAAGAAGGCGAAGAAGAATAAGAGGAAGAGTGGTTTTAGATAAAGCAAGCGAAGCGAATTACAGGAGTATTGGCTATACATTCAGGGTTATTGATGATATACATGACATATATAATTGCTATTATTTAATTGCTAGTCAGGAAATCATGAAGATTGGTTGTTTCCAACTGTTGTTTGGGTTGTGTGACCCCGAGTCTGTTATTAATGTTCATGATATCCAGGCTTGGGCGCTTATGTAGGGGACCCAGTGCTAAAACGTCATCCTCAATTGTTAATGGTTTACTTGACTTACAACCAACATCAACTCAACCATCACCACGACCTTGACCCAAAATTCATGAAACAACTGCCCCTACGATTAATTACATATTGTAGGACTACTCAGATCAATCGGACATCATGTCTCACTGCCATGATGAACATTCTGGCCACGGCCACGACCACGACCATGAGCATGATCACTCCGACGATATCACACCAGCAGTACAGTTCTCACTCTACAGTCAAATCAACTTTGATCATATTGTCACTCTGAATGAAGCCCAGCGAGATGCTGGTCAGAAAATCGTCAAGAAGACGTGGCAAGAAAGACTCAGCGTTGAGCCTGAGCTTGAGAGTGACGTTGATGAACAACTTCTCATGACAGTGCCGTAAGTGAAATCACATCTTATACACACACCTTATACTAAGCTACATCAGATTCACGGCCCAGATCAAGCTTCACTCCATCCTCATCCGCACATCTCCCTCAGCCTCGGCCCCCAAAACCCTCCATCTCTTCATCAACCGAGATGATCTCGACTTTGCAGCCGCCGAGGAGTCAGACCCTATTCAGACTCTCGAACTCTCCCAGACAAGTGATCTACAAGAAATTCCAGTGAAGAGAGCCCTGTTTGGAAAGGTGCAGCGGCTGGTGCTCTTCTTTGCGGACAACTTTGGCGATGGCGATGAGGATGTTACCCGTATCTCGTACATTGGTTTCAAAGGCGAATGGACTCAACTTGGACGAGCGCCTACAAACATCATCTACGAGGCTGCTGCGAACCCGGGAGATCATAAACTCAAGGGTACGAGTGTGAATCAGATGGGGAGCGGAATTGGAGGGAGGGGTCCTGGAATTTAACTAGAGGTGACCAAGGTCAACGACAATATTCAACAACAACAAAAAAGAATACATAGAGAGTCTAAATGATCGAGTCTCGTAAACTAAAAAAATACAAAATTGATTTAAACCGCTTCATTAAACTATTTCATCTATCCATCTCTCGTCTTGAATGGTGCCTAGGGGAGGAAATAAAACTCGGGACCTTGAACCTAACTGATAAAAATACTTGGGTAACTTGGTACGAATTTAGGATAAGTTTAGGATACCTTTTATAGAGTTTATTTTGTCACCCTAAACTTGGGTGTCATTTCACTACAACCAATGCTAGCCGGGAATTTTCCGGGTGCCGCAAAAGCTCTCCAGTATCTCAACCTCACCCAAAATCTTTCACCACTATCAACCATCGTCCTCAATATCCCACCCACGGCGGCCCAATTGCTCTCCTCGACAGCGTCACCCGCCGCCGTCGACACGCCGCCTTTCACAAAAATGCCTCCCCGTCTACCAATTCGCCTGGCCCTCCCACGGCCCTGCGCCGTCGCCGCCCGGCCTCTCCTCCTCCCGCTCACAGCTACCCGCGGTGTCAAGTATGGATGGACCACGGCTCCTCCTCGCAGCAAGCACAAGCGATTCAACCAGCCTTCTTCCGGTCTCCCTGCGCTCACGAGCGGTCCTGCTGCTGCGCTGAAGCGTCGGGAGAATACTACGCCTCTGCGCTCGGGTGTCCTTGCTACCAAGAAGGGCATGACTAGTGTGTTTGTTGGAAAGACCCGTGTGCCTTGTACTGTGCTGCAACTCGACCAGGTCCAGGTTGTTGCCAACAAGACTCGACAGAAGAACGGTTACTGGGCTGTGCAGATTGGTGCGGGCTCGCGTGATGGTCGAAACGTCACAAGCCCATTGTTGGGTTACTACGAGGCCAAGGGCATTGCACCCAAGGCGGAGCTCGCCGAGTTCAAGGTCCGAAACGAGTCTGGTCTTCTTCCCGTTGGTGTTCAGATTCTTCCCGATTGGTTTAAGAAGGGCCAGTACGTCGATGTCAAGGGCCGATCGCGGGGTATGGGTTTCGCTGGTGGTATGAAGCGCCACGGCTTCTCCGGTCAGGAAGCTTCGCACGGTAACTCCAAGAACCACCGAACAATCGGTACCACAGGTCCTTCGCAGGGCAGCGGTAGTCGTGTTATGCCCGGCAAGAAGATGCCTGGTCGTATGGGTAACGAATTCGTCACAGTGCAGAACCTCAAGGTCATGATGGTGGATAATGACTTGGGTATTGTGCTAGTCGGTGGACCTATTGCCGGTCCCAAGGGTCGTGTTGTTCGTCTTCAAGACGCCAAGAAGCGAAAGGCTCCTCCCCAACCTCATCGCGAAGCTGCTTTGGCTACTCTATTGGAGCGCAACCCCGATCATGAGGCTAAGCTCCAAGCAGCACGGGAAAGGCATCTTCAGCTAAAGAATGAGAGAGAAGCGGCGCAGCTTCAAGACTAATGACTTTTACCATGGATTGTAAGAGGGACTTTGTACTACGTATGATAAAAATGGGAGAGATCATAAGCGGGCTTTTTGTATTATACACACACACACCATCTACTGTACAGATTCGACTACAACCGGAGTACCCAGGGTTATCAAATTCATTTTAACAACAATGCTCGCCTCCCATGTTCCCTTTGAGTGGCCCATCATGCCTCACTTGTATTCGACCTGCTTTCGGAATCCTCTTGTAGGAGCATCCTCCTCTACAACAGGAAGATCCTCAACGCCTCCAGTGAGCGCCTTGAAAGGATCACCATTATCAAGGAGATCCAACCTCGTACCATCGCTCATGGTAAGACTCCACTCTGTAGTCGAGAAGAAGCCCTTGCTGGTAGGTCTGTTGCTCGCAAAGCGCATGACACCCTCGCCCTTTGTGCCTCGTACTGAGAACCAGATATCGATACGGCCGTGAAGCTGGTTCATCTCGCCGTGGATCCAGGGGATTTGGTGCTTGAAGTAGATCTCATCGCCGAGGAGATCGCGAGCATCTTGGTTGGTTCGTAGGGCGTAGAGTGTCGAGGAGACGACGGGTGAGGACATCTTTTGGTAGTTGAAGATGGCGACTGATGAAGCGGCCACGATGAGGAGGAAGATGGGGAAAGTACGGCGCCAGCGGAATGTCACATCAGCTACATCTACACAATCACAAATGTCAGTCTAATCCAATTGCTTATAGAGTTTCAATTGTCCGTACCTGGAAGCTCTCGGTCCGCCCTCCTCGACATCATGGGCCCATCTCCAGGCTTGGGCGCGGGAGTCATCCATCTTCTCTGCGCTGGTCTCAATGTGACAGTTCTTGACTTGAGAACAGCCGCCAGGCGTCGTCGGACGATCCTAGGTAGCGCTAGTTGTTGTGACATGGTGATTTTGCGCTTAATTTCTGGTGATCAACTGAATGGGAGTTGATCAGCTGAGGCTCTCAATTCCTCGATATCGGCGAAATTTTGCTGCCGGACGCCGATCTGATGTTGGTCAGTGGAGGTGGGGCAAGGCCGGTGTGGCGTCATAAGGCTGAGCCTCACTTCAACCTCGTGGACAGTTTTACCATGTGACTGACGAAAGACAGGCTCTTACATCACAACCTGGCCTCAACTGTTTCTTATTCTTAATACTGCATATTTTCTCCTCAGATCAAGTCTTTCGTCGGGTCTTAGCGACTTTATCATGCCCGCTTATCAGGGAACGACAGCCCGTTTGAGGCGCACATTTCACTATCCAGAGGAAGACTCTACAGACTCACAGCCTGAAGCTTTGGATGAACAAGGTATACCATAACAGTCTTGGCAAAATACCCAAAATGCACCTCTAACAATAATATTAGAACAAGAAGACTATATCAATCAGCTCGCAGCGGAAAATGCCGCTCGAGATATTCAGTTTCGCCGCTTCCTCCTCGCCATTCCCCTTCTGGCAACCATCCCCTATCTTCCTGCCCTCATAAACCCTCCTACAGCACTTCTCGCTCTCCTCAGCCTAACTTCTCTCTTCTCCACGGCATATTTGCTTCATCACCAACCACCAGCATCATCAGGAATCCCATTCCTTGATAGCTGGGCAAAACCTAGAACTCCACGACCCACTCGCCCACCATCCCTATCAACAAGGGAGTCTTCAGGTGTGTTTGACGATGATGATGAGGACGAAGTAGAGGATGTGTCGTATGTACCTCGTGGGAGGCCACGACAACGTAGGAGTTCGTTCAGCTACGTCGAACGAAGGTCACCCCTCGAAACTTATCTGCCCTACCTAAATTTGGGTCTCGGCCTAGTTTTGATTTTGATGGCCTGGGCAATAGGTAGAACAAAAAGTGAAGCCGTATGGCCCGGAATGGGTTACTTGCCCTTGGTGGTCTATGGTATTATTCTGGTGTCAAAGATGGTCATGGGTAGTGTCGACCCCGAGAAGGAGTTGTCGTCGCTCAAGTATGACTACAAAGGTGCCTAATCATAGGTAATTATCAAGCATTTAGTTAATTTGGTATGACAAGTGCAAATACACAGTGAAGAATAGTTCTATCCGATCAACGCATGTCTTCAGATCCCTCTTTTTCTATCCGTTCCGGCCATTTCAGTCGTTATTCGGGCATTTCTCATTACAGCCACCTACATGTCTATCGAATCATTGAAACGCAAAATACCATGGCTTTTCAGAACTCCATCGACGCCCTTGGGTGGTCGAGGGAAAGGATCAGTCATTGGGCTCGCATCCGGTGAGTCCGATGACTTGTCTGTCACCAAAGCCAGCCCATGAGACTTGATAGCATCTACCAGTGCAGGTACCATGTCCTATTAGCAGTTAGCAAAGAGTTTGTCAATAGCAGAGAAGAGGAGTTTCAACATACCAGTAGTCGAGAATAACATATTAATCCCATGAAGTTATTGCTTTGGGCAATTCTCACAACCTCCTTAATGGAGGTACTGCGCCTTCCATTGGGTCCCGAGGTCTCCTCTCGTCCTAGGTCGTTACACAAGAAAACAGGGAAATTGGGCTGTTTCCAATTCAAGGCTGTACATAGTCGAGGGCTGAAGCTGCTGAATACAATCGATCGGACCACATCAGGAGCCTGTGCACGTTGTGTTCGCGCATGCTCGAACACAATGTTGAGGATTGAATCGACAAACACGTTGACATCCAAAGCAGGCCCAAGCGAGAAGGCCTTTTCTTCCTCGGGAGTCGGGTACAATACTTGGAGATTGACATGCATTCCAGGGTTGAGTAAAGCAAGTGCTTCCTGAAGTGTAACGCCGGACGTCGCAAGGATGTGATAGACCTCAGCCATGCTTTCAGCTGACTTGGTTTTCAAGTTGGGAAGTTCTGCACGGCTGTTGCTCCTGATAGTCATGGAAGTGAATTGTTCCAGAGTCAATCTGCAGACAGGAATATCAAGGCCACCGCAGGCTATTGTCCATCTAGGCCAGAGCACAGGGATACCGTCACTGGTATATTGGACAAATAGCCTTACATAATCGCCCGAGAGGCTCGATCCAGTGACAATAGCGCTAGTTGGTTGGTTGAATTGGCTTGTTGCTTTCCAGTAGGTTTCAAAGTCGGTAATCTCCAGAGGTTGCCCTTGGAATGGCTTGATGACCTGCACAGTGAAGCTGATCTGTCCAATGGCGCGAAGGCGGGGATCAAACAGTGGCAAACAACATGCTGAGGAGCCTTGTAATCCCTTGAAGATGCTTGATAGGGCGACCGTCTTGGCAATAACCTTTGCGCCATATGTGGGGAACACGTCGATATCGAGACTGAAAGTATCCAAGTTGTCAACCTGGAAGGATACCATACGGGTGTCTTCTTGGAAAGGCAGAATGATATTCTTCGGTATAAGATCCGAAACTTTTGAAGAAATCGTGAGGCGAGCGGCAGGGTATTTTCCGTCCTGGAAGAAGACAAGGGGCTGTTCCTCGAAATCTCCGAAAGAGATCTGAACAACTGTCTTTGTGTCAAGGAAGTTGTGTCCGTATCGGCGCAGAGGAATGATTGGAGGAGGAAGTTCGAGTTCGGGGATCGCATCGGGGTCAAGAGACATGGGCAGAGGCGCTGTACTTGAGTCCATAGGACCCAAGGCAGGCTGCACCATGAAGGGGCTGGCTCGTGGTCGTGTGTTGAATGGAGTTAGCAATTTCATACACGCAAGGTGTCCCTCCCAAGCAGCATAGTACATGGCTGGAAGATCCTTCTCATCCACGATGCTTGCATCGACCCCAACCTTGAGTAGTGCTTGAAGACAGTCGACATTGCCTTCGCTTGCAGAATGTACCAGTGGTGTCCATCCATAAAGTTTATCAATTTGGTCGAGATCAGCGCCATATTGCTTGAGGAGTAGGAGCAGTTCTGAGGTTTGGCCAGCTCTCGCTACGAGATGCTGAGGGTAAAGGCCTTCAGCATCAGGCAAGATCTTGGCCCCATGCTTCAACAGCATCTCAACCACGGCCACCGAGCCATGTTCGCAAGCGAGGTTCAAGGGCACATGATCCGAATCAGAAAACGGATCGATACGTGCAGATCTGGCAAGGAGAAGTTCGATGCAGTCGAGATGTCCGTGGATAATAGCATGAATCAAGGGGGTGAAGTTGTCGTGGTCGATGAGGTCGATGGTTTTTTGATTTGCTACACGGTAGTCAGCCAACTAAATCAATACACAAACATTGTTCAGCAACTTACCATCCAAGAGGACCTTAAGCATTTCCAATCTTCCGTGAAGACTGGCATAATGCAGAGGAACCCGGCCATAGACATCCGTTCTATCCACAACAACATTGACTGACAAGCCCCACTCCAGGACGTACTGCTTGCCATAGATGGCAGCTTGGTGCAGGCAATTTCTCTCATTGATATCATCATAAGAGTGGAGGTCAACGAGACCTGTGTCGAGTAGGACTCGCAGGGACTCTTGTGGAGCTTCTGAGATGGCTGCTAAGAAGGTCCGCGTGAGCCTTTCCATCAACGAGCTATCTCCATCTCCAGTGTCGTTGGCGGAGCGCATCCGTTGAAGAAGATCCTTTAAGGACTCGAGGTTCCCTGTGATAACAGTATCAAGTAGCAGTGTGTCTGCGTCCCCTTCATCAGTGCCGACGAAATGCTGCGAGGTTACCACGTGCCCCGACTGAAAGTTCACTTGGATTCCATCCGACCAAGCACCAAGCTCTTGTAGACTTGTGGTAGCCTGGTCAGAAAGCTCGCTTATTACCGTAGCATTGAAGAATGGCTGGACTTCGACGGCTCTCGAGAGGTAGAGCTCCTTTGTCTTGGACTTTGATGTCTTGTCCCACTTTTTGAGAATCTTTGAGAAAGCAGTACCGTTGATCTCGACAAACTGTTGGAGTTTGTTTAAGTCGGTAGCAAACTGTTGGAAGCCTTCCTCGAGGGTAGTGAACTTGGCTGAGCGCCGAGAGATGCCATGACGAGACTGTATCACCTTCTTCTTATCAAGGAGCGTCTTGAGGCGA